ACCACCTTAATATGTATCTAGGGGTACCACCTTTGACATGTCTCTAGGACCACCTGACATGTATCTTAGGACAACCTTTGGCATGTATCTAGGACCACCTGACATGTATCTAGGACAACCTTGACATGTATCTCTCGACCACCTGACCTGTCTCTAGGACCACCTGACATGTACCTAGGGACAACCTTGACATGTATATAGCACCATTTCGACATGTATATAGCACCACTCTGACATGTGTCTAGGACCGCCCTCGACATGCATCAAGGACCAGTTTGACATGTATATAGGGACAACCTCGACATGTGGTGTCTAGGACCACCTCAACATATTTATAGCACCACCTTAACATGTGTCTAGGGACCACCTCGACATGTCTCTAGGGCCACCTTGACATGTATCTAGCACCACCTCGACATGTCTCTAGGACCCCTGACATGTATCTAGGACCACCTTGACATGTATCTAGCACCACCTTGACATGTATCTAGGACCACCTTGACATGTATCTAGCTTTTACCTCGACATGTATCTAGAACCACCTCCACATGTATCTAGGACCACGTTGACATGTATATAGCACCACCTCCACATGTATATAGGCACCACATCGACATGTGTCTAGGACCACCTCCACATGTATCAAGGACCACCTCGACTTGTATATAGGACCACCTTGACATGTATATAGGACCACCTTAACATGTGTCTAGGACCACATCGACATGTATCTAGGGACCACCTTGACATGTATATAGGACCACCTCGACATGTGTCTAGGACCACTTCAACATGTATCTAGGACCACATCGACACGCAGGACCACCTCGGCATGTAAATAGGACCACCTCGACATGTATCTAGGACCACTTTAATATGTAGGACCACCTCGACATGTATCAAGGACCACCTCGACATGTATGTAGGACCACCTTGACACCTCTCTGGGACCACCTCGACATGTATCAAGGAACACCTCGACATGTATATAGCACCATTTCGACATGTATATAGCACTACTTCCACATGTGTCTAGGACCGCCTCGACATGTATCAAGGACCAGCTCGACATGTATATAGGACAACCTCGACATGTGGTGTCTAGGACCACCTCAACATGTATATAGCACCACCTTTACATGTGTCTAGGGACCACCTCGACATGTATATAGGACCACCTTGACATGTATCAAGCACCACCTCGACATGTCTCTAGGACCCCTGACATGTATCTAGGACCACCTCCACATGTATCTAGCACCACCTTGACATGTATCTAGGGACCACCTTGACATGTATCTAGCTTCACCTCGACATGTATCTAGAACCACCTCGACATGTATCTAGGGACCACCTTGACATGTATATAGCACCACCTCGACTTGTATATAGGACCACCTTGACATGTATATAGGGACCACCTTAACATGTGTCTAGGACCACATCGACATGTATCTAGGACCACCTTGACATGTATCTAGCTTCACCTCGACATGTATCTAGAACCACATCGACATGCGTCTAGGGACCACCTCGACATGTATCAAGGACCACCTCGACATGTATATATAGGACCACCTTGACATGTATATAGGACCACCTTCAGCATGTGTCTAGGACCACATCGACATGTATCTAGGACCACCTCGACATGTATATAGGACCACCTCGACATGTGTCTAGGACCACTTCAACATGTATATAGGACCACCTTGACGTGTATCTAGCTTCACCTCGACATGTATCTAGAACCACCTCGACATGTATCTAGGACCACCTTGACATGTATATAGCACCACCTCGACTTGTATATAGGACCACCTTGACATGTATATAGGACCACCTTAACATGTGTCTAGGACCACCTCGACATGTATCTAGGACCACCTTGACATGTATCTAGCACCACCTCCACATGTATATAGCACCACATCGACATGTGTCTAGGACCACCTCGACATGTATCAAGGACCACCTCGACATGTATATAGGACCACCTTGACATGTATATAGGACCACCTCGACATGTGTCTAGGACCACCTCGACATGTATCTAGGACCACCTCGACATGTATATAGGACCACCTTGACATGTGTCTAGGACCACTTCGACATGTATATAGGACCACCTTGACATGTATATTGGACCACCTTGACATGTGCCTAGGACCACTTCGACATGTATCTAGGACCACTTCGACATGTATATAGGACCACTTCGACATGTATATAGGACCACTTTGACACCTCTCTAGGACCACCTTGACTTGCATCTAAGACCACCTTGACATGAAATCTAGGACCACCTTAATATGTATCTAGTACCACCTTGACATGTCTCTAGGACCACCTGACGTGTATCTAGGACAACCTTGACATGTATCTAGGACCACCTGACATGTATCTAGGACAACCTTGACATGTATAAAGGACCACCTGGACATGTCTCTAGGACCAACCTGACATGTATCTAGGACAACCTTGACATGTATATAGCACCATTTCGACATGTATATAGCACCACTTCGACATGTGTCTATGACCGCCTCGACATGTATCTAGGACCACCTCGACATGTATATAGGACCACCTCGACATGTGTCTAGGACCACTTCAACATGTATATAGGACCACCTTGACATGTATATTGGACCACCTTGACATGTATCTAGGACCACCTTGACTTGTATCTAAGACCACCTCGACATGTATCTAGGACCACTTCGACATGTATATAGGACCACCTTGACACCTCTCTAGGACCACCTTGACTTGTATCTAAGACCACCTCGACATGTATCTAGAACCACCTCGACATGTATCTAGGACCACCTTGACATGTATCTAGAACCACCTTGACATGTCTCTAGGACCACCTGACATGTATCTAGGACAACCTTGACATGTATCTAGGACAACCTTGACATGTATCTAGGACAACCTTGACATGTATCTCGGACAACCTGGACATGTCCCCAGGACCTTCTTGACATGTTCTAGGACCGCTTTGACATATATCTTGGGCCACCTGGACAGATGTGTAGGACCACCTTGACATGTATATAGGACCACCTTGACATGTATCTAGGACCACCTTGACATGTATCTAGGACCACCTTGACATGTATCTCGGACCACCTTGACATGTCTCTAGGACCACCTGACATGTATCTAGGACAACCTTGACATGTATCTAGGACCACCTGACATGTATCTAGGACAACCTTGACATGTATCTCGGACCACCTGGACATGTCTCTAGGACCACCTGACATGTATCTAGGACAACCTTGACATGTATCTAGGACAACCTTGACATGTATCTAGGACAACCTTGACATGTATCTCGGACTACCTGGACATCACCCCAGGACCTTCTTGACATGTTCTAGGACCGCTTTGACATGTATCTTGGACCACCTGGGCAGATATGTAGGACCACCTTGACATGAATCTCGGACCACCTCGACATGTATCTAGAACCACCTTGACATGTCTCTAGGACCACCTGACATGTATCTAGGACAACCTTGACATGTATCTAGGACAACCTTGACATGTATCTAGGACAACCTTGACATGTATCTCGGACAACCTGGACATGTCCCCAGGACCTTCTTGACATGTTCTAGGACCGCTTTGACATGTATCTTGGACAACCTTGACATGTATCTAGGACAACCTTGACATGTATCTAGGACAACCTTGACATGTATCTCGGACAACCTGGACATGTCCCCAGGACCTTCTTGACATGTATCTAGGACCGCCTTGACATGTATCTAGGACCACCTGGACAGATATGTAGGACCACCTTGACATGTATTTAGTGCTGCCGGACGTGGATTATGTTTCTGTATTTCTTGTTTATTTATCAACATTTCACCAATATCACAACTTTAGCACGGCGGCGGGTATATAAACGAGTCCGGACCAGACAATCAAGTGATTGATATTGAGTGCAATGATGTACCTTTTCAGAAACAATGTCACGCTATGAGCCTGACCACCAAACAGACAAGTACAGGGATCTCAGTGTGGCTATTTCAATCCAAGGTCCAGGCGGACCAGAGTCAGTAGTGACTCCACGGGCTAATAAAGATATAGTTGAAGTAAATGGCGCTGTGTGTTCATAGCTGAAGTGAGTTATTATCTGTCATAAATGTGCCACATAAACCACGTTTTACCGGCTCACTATACACTGATCCGCTGATGTTCTGGTGTAAAGATCTACTGTAAAGAGCCAATGCAAACATGGGAACTACAAGATAAACAATGGAAGTTCGAGGCAAACAGTGTACGTTCGAGACAAAGACAGTGACCTCAAGACACAGAGTGCGGGAGTTCGAGACAAAGACAGTGACCTCAAGACACAGAGAGCGGGAGTTCGAGACAAAGACAGTGACCTCAAGACACAGAGAGCGGGAGTTCGAAACAAACACAGTGACCTCAAGACACAGAGAGAGGGCGCTTGAGGCAGAGGGGTGGAGCTTGTGTTGCTGGGATTGGCTAGAGACATGCAATGGGTGTTCGAGACAGACAAGTGAGAGCTCGAGACAGAGAATATTTGAAACAGTAGTTTGTGTCGTCACTTGCAATTGCATCATTTCAGATAATAGAAATTTCGGGCTTTTGTTGCAATAGTTCACTGATTTTGCTGCGATACATTTGGTCAGGCCCGCTGACTTGGTTGATACTTGTCATCGTATCCCAATGGCTTAGATCGATGCTCATGCTGTTGATCACTGGATAGTCTAGTCCAGGCTGGGTCATATACAGATCGCCGCTATATAGCTAGAATATTGCTGAGAGCGGCGTTAAACAACAAACAAACAAACAGACCATACAATTGACTGGAGTATTGCTTGTTAATGATTATATGTAGTCAAAGTGTCTGATACACCAACATGCATTGATATGCATGGAATGCATTAGCATGATGAGTAAAGAACCCGAATCAATCCACGACTGATACACGAGTTCTCACGCTGTTAACATACCCTGATTCCTACGTAAGCCGAATACACGTGGTCTGTGAGCGGGGAAGAAATACATAGAGACACAAACAAGGATGGCTGCTGCTGAATCTCCGACATACCTGCAACAGAAGAAGACACTGATGGTGATGGTGGTGGTGATGACAAAGACAAGAAACAGCAGATCCTGGTAGGACTAAGGGACTCTATTCTAATAAGTGAACTGAGATGTCCGAATGATCTTAACATACGCTATTCTTGGTTTAAGAATATAGCATGAACTAATATTTTCTGCTTCCAAGGCCATACTCAAGACATATCTGTCTTCTCTGAATGGTACAATCTAATTAATATATACGTGGAAAGGGTTTTCTCACTTTCCTTCCAATTGTCACTACTGTTTGTGTGTGTATTGAGCAACCATATTGAATATGGAAACAACGGAATTATTATCATTTCCAGATTGAAAATAAAGGAATAGAGACAAGAGGTTTCGGGTGACCTTGAAACAGGCAGGCTGGCAAAGCTGATCATCGGTCGTAGCCACCTCTACACTCGGGCTAGGAAGCGCCAAGAACGTTTCGGACAGTGTAGAGCCTCCCGACACTGCAGCTTTCTGCATTTCCCAGGGTGCCAGAAGGACTGTGTTCCTGGCAGGACACCGGCCACTCTAACATTGTCAGTCAGCAGAATCGGAGGTATCAAACCCAAGAAACAGCGATCAATGGGGAGTCGAACAACGTGTTACCTGGGATGCAAGCGTGCCATTTCGCAAGCGAAGTTTGTCCTGCATCTTTTCAATCACACCAGCGCCACTAGGGACAGTGAATTTCATAAGATTTATCAAAATGGAGAATTTCCGATTTGATGACCTAAATACATCTGAGGTTGTACACTGGTCTGTTCCAAAGAATAAATCTTATTAATTTTGTAAAATGATCATTTTCACGAGGCCCTCTTGAGCCAAAGCCGGGCATCCACTGACGACGTATTGGACAGTGAAATCATCACAAAATCTATATTTCATATCCACATTCTGATGGAATATCACTCATTGGCAGTGTCACGTGGGAGGTGACTAGACTTGAGCAGCAAAGAGAAAGCCTTCTGTTTCACCTTTGAGGCCAGCCGACTTCATCCAAGCAAAGGACTTACTTTCCTCTGAACACACTGCATATAAACTAGATACAGTGGTCATTCAGAAAGACTCCCCTTGAACCTGTGCCGATTTGATATGGCACTTCGGTTGGTTTGTCCATCAGTAGAAACCATCAACAAAATCAACATTGACATTGAAATTATCTTCTACATCCTTTGCTCGTTTAGGAAAAGTGCACAATGCCTTGTTTTAATTAATAGACTCTTGAGAAATGTCAGGAAGAGCCGCCACGATAAATCCAATCACGCCCTTCCATTACAACGGATGCATTTACAGTTGTCTCCTTCTTGTAACACACATGTCTTGTAACACACCTGTCTTTTAACACACCTGTCTTGTAACACACCTGTCTTTGGTAAAGCACGCTCATTAACGCAATATAATACATTTTAACACTGAGTAAGACGGCTACCAGAACTGATCTATGAGGAAACCCTGCATTGTGCTAAAGATCACCACTATTCGCGAATACGTTTGCTCGCGACTCCTTTATTCCGTTAGGACCGACCCAACTGGTAATTATGGACAGTGTCCTTGGAATAATCTTACGGGAAGTAAGCTCCCCATCCTGTCACAACTGGTGGTTTCCTTGACAACCAGAGCAGCACCAAAAGTAGAAAATGGCCTATAACACCCATCTCTGCAAATCTGGAAAAAGAAAGCAGCATTCAACACACGGCATCATGTACGACTCGACTCCCCAACACCGACGTTATACCACAGACCAATACACAACATGAAGCATCGTCTCCAGCCAGTCGGTCCACCTCGCCCACGCTGTGTCTACAGAACAAAGCGGGAAGATGCATGTGTGTTAAAAAATATTCTGATGCCTTGTATAAAAGACTTACATTAAACCATAGGGGGTATATTAAATAGCATGTACTAGAAGAGAAAGTAACGTCTTTTATAATCACAAACACATTCCAAGGTCATATTCGTAAGAAGTAAGAGATAGTAAGCCTGTGGAATCGTTTTCATTAAAGCTGTGCCATGTTGTTATGACACTGCCAGGGATCGTTTACAGTTGTTCAAAGTCATGATGCTTTGGAGTGAGTGAGTGAGTGAGTTTAGTATTACGCCACACTCAGCAATATTCCAGCTGTATGGCGGCCATGACGCTTTGGACAATGCATAAACTACTACCGTTATCATGCACGCAGTGTTCTAGGCTTAGTGTGATGTTCTGTATATTGTAACATTTGATTTCTTTTGGTGATATGTGTTATTTTTCTATTTAGAAGCAATACGAAAATTTGAGGTTTGAAAACTTTAGTAAGGTAATTACCTTTCTGGATACTCATACATGTCAGAAGTCAAATACATATATAGTCAAGAACATTACATGTTTCAATCTACCGAGACGCCCTTGTGTGAGTGTCTAAATTGTTCAACACAACAGTAGCATGCACTGAAACACAACTAAAAACGTAAACACAGCCTAAATGTAATTCGTCAAATGTAAATATACTGAACATTATTGAAAACGCACCACCTATATTAGTTTGGATTTCCAAGAGCATAAATGAGCAATCGGTGTAAATTTTACAAGCTTTTGTAGTCCAATGATTGGTAAAGAAAAGGAACAAGAACCAATCCAGCAAAACAGTGATGTTTTAATTCAGCTGACCATCAAAGAAAGATGGAGTCAAACTGGGAAGTCAGTAACGTGTATGACCACCGTTAGCAGCAACACAAGCTGTGCAACGTCTCCTCATTGAACTGATAAGTTTCTGAATAATGTTTTGAGGCAATGCATTCCACTCTTGTCGCAAGGCATTCTCAAGTTCCCCAAGGTTGTTGATCTGTGGGCGACGTGAGAGGCGTTGGCCAATGTAATCCCACAAGTGTTCAATGGGAGACAAATCTGGTGACAATGCAGGCCATGGCAGTAGAGGAATGTTGTTGTTTGCCAGAAACAGTGTCGCAGCACGTGAAGTGTGCGCTCGAGCATTGTCCTGCTGAAATGTGTGCAGATCTTGATGTTGGTTAAAGATAGGGAACGACGTTGTTCTGAAGAATGGTGTCACGGTAGTAAAGGGCATTCACTCTGCCACGACAAACTACCAGAGCGGTTTTGTGATCATAACTGATCCCTCCCCACACCATAATGCTGTCTCCACCCCACCGATCTGTTTGCACAACACAGTCCTGATGGTAACGTTCTCCCCGTCGACGCCATACCCGTAGACGCCCGTCAGCATTTCGCAAGTGAAAACGTGACTCGTCGAAGAACACAACACCATGCCAACTTCGTAACAACCACAAACGATGCTTTTCAGCCCATCGTCGGCGTTCACGGCGATGTCTATCAGTCAGGATGGGTCCAACATAAGGACGTCGACACCGTAATCCTGCCGCATGGAGACGGCGTCGGACGGTGGAAGCACTGATCAAACCACGTCGGCCTTGGACAGCGTTGGCGGTTCTGGCAACGTACGATCCCGAATATGGCGCCGAACAATGTCTCGATCTTGGCATGGGTGGTAACACGTGCCTGGCCAGGACGTTGGCGGTCCCTGGTGGTAGCTGTTGGCAAGTCTTATGATGGGGGAATGACGGCAACTAAATCGTCCGGCAATAATCCTGCTTGATGTGCCAACCTGCAACATGCCCAACGCCCGTTCTCGTTCCTCTGGTGACAGTCTTGGCATTGCAAAATTAACTTTACTTGCGGAGGTACAGCTAAAATGAGAACGTTTTTTTGCCGACGGTCATTTACACCCCCTAATCAGCATGTTTAACGCATGCAATTGGTGCTTTTCGTGTGTGTTGTGCATGAATTTTGTTGTTGTCATGATGTGTTCGGGCAATCCGTTCTTTACTGTACAGCATTATTTATTGTCTTTTGTGTTATTAACAACATTTCCAAAGTTCATTTTCACTCTCAAAACCATCCTATTACCATATTTCAAAATTTACAGGTGGTGCGTTTTCAATGATGTTCAGTATATTCTCGGTATTATAGTTCGTTGAGCTACATGGGTGAGTGTAACTGGGTTTATAATACTTACTCCAGAGAATACCATGAGTGATATTCTTCCCCACGTGGTTTTAATGTGTCCCCAGCATTGTTCACTGACAATCTGTCATTGTCAGCCATTGTTAAACTGCCAGTACTGTTTGTACTGCCACGGAATATTACGAGATGGGACTGCACTCATACCTCTACCGCTTTTAGCAGATCTACCAGTCGGTATGTGATGACAATAAAGCCAACATGAGTGTATACATCTGCTCAAAGTGTTGTCTGTGAATTACAGAGTACATACGACAGAGGTCCGAGCTCCTTGTACTGTTGTTTGAGTGTGCTCTGTACATCGCTCTCAGTGTCTGTGCTGCGACACCGCCATCGGAACCAGTTTCTGGAATATATGGATTATTGCGAATACATGGTATTTAACAAAGTCAGTAATATTCAGTTGTGTTATATGATCTAATTTGTTTAGAATTAAAACATAATATATACTTTTCAAATGATGTGAAATTGTCTCTTTGTCATTTGACGGCGAGAGGGTCCTTCTTTCTTGAAGTGAGTTTCTTAAAGGCTGATATCACAATTTCTGCAGAATGAATAACTATGCAATGTTTAAACTTGAAAAGGTCGACTACAGAGCAAGGGCACGTGTGTTCATGTGGCAGTGACGCCCAAGCTGACACACAACCACCACACAACCAACGTTGTTTACCACTCCGGAGAAGCGGATGTAGTGCGGACGAACTCAGGATCATCTCTGTACAGCAAATTAAACGGAACCTGAAGGTGAATGCTCCCTGGAACATTGAGGATGGGATGGATGATGAAATGAGAAGGTACGACATTGAAAATGGACATAATGTCCATCGTCTTGGTTCAGGTAGTAAGAACATCCATCTGTGACCTATTTACCTACTTTTTTCCCAGGAAAAAGAATGAAAGCCATAGCCAAGCGCAAATCAGGCAGAGGGCGGAGCCTGGAAGAGCGAAGATCATCCAGGAAGTAAACGTCACTCCCGAATCCAAACCATATTCCTCAAACAAACTGAAATTAAGGAGTGCACAATATTCTAAAACTAATCTCCCCAGCAACAAAAAGTAGAAACTTGAAAACGCCATGTAAACTATACAAGGTAGAAAGCTTCAGGTCGGAAATGCAACTATGATACCAATACACTACCATCGAACAACATTATTTATGCTTAGTTACAATCAAACATATCCGTCACCTTCTTACACTGACTTACAGCCAAGTCTGTTTGCTAATTCTTGCACAATAATTTCAAAGAAGGTCAACATTCGAAGTGAGATACTTCATTTTACGTTCCATCTATTCATGAAACGATGAAAGAACCATTATTTTCATACTGACCACCCACTTTTTAAGTTTTGGAAAACATTCAAAAGAAAGTTTGTGATTCTGGTCACAAGTGATGGATAATGGAACGTAACTAGAACTGGATCACGTGCACGTATATGATGCTGACGATCCCAGGATCGTAATCTGGGAATCGATCTAACGTTCTTATTATATACCCATATAAACTTAGTATAGTAATACAGGGGCGCAATACGGATGACGTGGTCAAATTCCGTATTGCACCCCAGATTCCGTATTGAACCCCTGCCGGCTCTACTTTCTCCAAAGTTCGGCACTTTCCGGGATTTTGCGTACCTTGAACTCTATGAAATGTTTATTGCTTGACAGATCGATTTAAAAGTCGAATAGCTTGTTCGTTTTTGTCATACAGGTTTTTATGTATTAAAATATGAATGGATTTCATAAGAATGGTGTCATTATTTTGCCTATGGTAAGTTGTGAAAGTGAGACTTTCGGAGGAATGTATGATCTAGGTCAGTTGCGTGATCCGCCCACGCGCAGAGTGATACTTAATGTCAAACTAGGCTGAATGCGTAATTATATGAGGCGTGAAAATATGTATCCGTACGCTATGATTGTTTTAGTAAGTAACAGATTAATGCAAGATAAGAGGGTATATAATAAATAAAGAACGTCATACTTGTGCATTTGGATGTTTTGTATTGAACTCGAAGATGTCATCGGGGCAGAGAAACAAAAACCTCATTGTTTCTCTGCTCCGATGACATCTTCGAGTTCAATACAAAACGTCCAAATGCACTAGTATGACGTTCTATATATGGATTTGACGTCCAGCAAATAAGAATGGAGTACGACCACTGAACATCAATACCAATCATTATGTAAAGTAAATACTATGTCTGTTTGCTAAGCAGTTGATATTCCACTCACATGTCTGACTGTCCCTTCATGATGAGGTTGGGCGACGTCCCCGACAACGACCCTGTACCACCGATGTTGGCAGCGTAAGCGACACACAGAGTCATTCCCTTACAGAGACGTCGGAACGAATGGGAGTCCTTCTCTCGTCCGTCGTCGTACATGCTGCAAAACACGTAGGTAAAGGTTTCAGTGTTTATGTAGACGAGGGCGTTGGGACACAAGATGGCTTTATGGGACATTGAGTGAGTGAGTAGGTGGAAGGTTGAGTGGGTACGTGAGTGAGTGAGTGAGTGTGTGTGTGAGTGAGTGGGAGGTGAATGACTGTCAGCAATCAATATTCAAGCTACCAAGGTGGCCTGTCAGCACTCGGGGCGGGGAAGTCTACTGGTGTCAGGACGAGGAGAATATCAACAATAAAGAGATCCACCTTTTCTGTGACTTCTGGTGTGTCGGCCTTTCCCTTTCCGAGATGGAAGTGCCGGGGTGGCTTAGTGCCAAGATCGTGCTTTCATCGTTGTCTGGATCTAATACAATAAAAAACAGACTGTGGTGATCGTCGATATATTTCCCATGAACTTCCCCATGAGGACTAAATAAGTACTGATTTACTAACTAATTACTTCTTGAAGGCATATGACGGTAAGGGTGTGAGAGGTAGTGCTCATGCTGTTCCCTATTAGTTTACCTGCCCAATGCACCCGGTATTACACCTTTCCCTATACGTACTGACTCACTATCTAAATATAGCTCGCAGGGAGGAGCCGATGAAGCTGCTTAGGCAGGTTGAACGGTTGTCACACTTAAGACACGTGATCTACTACACGCACTGGTGTGAAGGCAGCTCTCGGTCAAGGTTCTATCAAGTGGGACGGTTTGTTACTGTGGCGGACCCACCTGATGTGTCATTGGACGACCTGAGTTGGATGAGGACGGCGTCTACGATGGGGATCATCATAGCGGTGGCGGAGGTGTTGTTCACCCACATGGACAGGAACCACGTGGGCAGCATAAAGTCGACGCCATGTACCCCACCAGAGTGGAGGACATCACCCCACCAGCAGCCTAAAGTCCACGCCACACGTGGAGGACATGTACCCCACCAGCAGCCTAAAGTCCACGCCACACGTGGAGGACATGTGCCCCACCAGCAGCCTAAAGTCCACGCCACACGTGGAGGACATGTACCCCACCAGCAGCCTAAAGTCCACGCCACGTGGAGGACATGTACCCCACCAGCAGCCTAAAGTCCACGCCAGGGAGGACATGTACCCCACCAGCAGCCTAAAGTCCACGCCACACGTGGAGGACATACTAAAGTCCCCACCAGCAGCCTAAAGTCCACGCCACACGTGGAGGACATGTACCCCAGCAGCCTAAAGTCCACGCCACACGTGGAGGACATATCTGCAGCCTCTCCAAAGGACATACAGCCAAATATCTATCTAAAATACACGCCACACGTGGAGGATACGAAGCCTACCATAATCCTGCAAAATACCATCTAAAATCGGCACCATCACCGTTTTTTGGATGTTATGGCTACGACAAAATAAAACTATAAAAGAAAACGTCTGCATTTGTACCATTTTGGATTTGAACCCATGAGGAGAAGTGTTTTGAGGGCGATGCGCTTGTGCAGGTTCCACTCTTCCACTGCGATTGCGAACGAGAGGCAGCCCAGTCCAAACATGGAAGTGTCCTGAATAGAATATCAAATCATGTTCAACACACATGCCATCCACACCACTGTAACAGACGGATTGGTGGCCGTACCGCTGTCGTAACCTTTATTATTCAACTTTACGTAGGTTTGTTGTTGATATTTGGAAGGAGATCCAGAAGATGAGAGAAAAATGAAAAGTGATAATGAATGAAAATGAAAATGTCATAAATGTATTTTAAGTTTCGCATTCCTGTGGGACTTGGGAATAGATTGTGGAATATGAATATATCTCCAAAACAATTTAAATGTTTATCACTTTCATGTAGTTCCTGCAGACTGCCTTGACCGGAAGTACACCCATCATGGGGAATAGGACGACCGGAAGTAGCGCTGTAGCACTCAGAGGGAGGCTCTCCGTGATCCAGTACACCGCCATGATAGCTAGACCGTATGCACATCGTGACTCCTGAAATAAACCGCATGTCTGTAACATAACTGGCATATTGGGCGCAAGTTCCATGGCCGTGTTCTACGCCCACTTTGTATAATCATTATATCATACAACCCCAAGGGAACGGTGAGGAATGTATTGTATAATCATTATATCATACAACCGGTGAGGAATGGTATAATCATTATATCATACAACCTCAAGGGAACGGTGAGGAATGTATATAATCATTATAATCAACGGTGAGGAAAGTATTGTATAATCATTATATCATACAACCTCAAGGGAACGGTGAGGAATGTATTGTATAATCATTATATCATACAACCTCAAGGGAACGGTGAGGAATGTATTGTATAATCATTATATCATACAACCTCAAGGGAACGGTGAGGAATGTATTGTATAATCATTATATCATACAACCTCAAGGGAACGGTGAGGAATGTATTGTATAATCATTATATCATACAACCTCAAGGGAACGGTGAGGAATGTATTGTATAATCATTATACCATACAACCTCAAGGGAACGGTGAGGAATGTATTGTATAATCATTATATCATACAACCTCAAGGGAACGGTGAGGAATGTACGTGAACTGAGTGTGTGATGGTTTCTGATTTCTTGCTGAAATATTTTTGTATCGTGACTATGCCAAGAAGATCTGTTACTGTTTTAAAGTGGGTAATTGCTGGAACAAGGACGATCTATTCAGGTTTGACGACTTCCACGAGATTACCTGGTGTTTCATGACAAAGCCTGTATTACAAGACAATAAGTGTTAGTTTGAAAAATCATCCTGCCTATCCAAACTTCGATTACTGTATTGCATTCTGTAAATAATGAACAGGAGACTTGCATTTTAATAAACATTTGTTTGTGCACTTAAATAGGATTATAGTTAGGGTGTAAAACCCAAACCGAACGGTTATCCCGACATGCTAAATGCTCCTAACAGATGAACAGACATTGCGCTGTGGTTCAATCGAACAGCAATACAAACTAACCTAGAACTGAAAATAGGGCAAGGCCGGGCAGTTGTCGACAGTCAGTCTGTTTTCAGCTCAGGCTCTTTAGCTGACTTTATTGACTTGGGTCCCTTTGTACATGGCAACGTTATCGCCATGACTGTCGTAAGTCACGCAATGACCATCTCCTTAACCCTACACTTTGTACAATGACTCTGTGGACGTTAGCTCGCTCCCGGAAGTGATGGGTGTACTATTCGTCTTGTATGTGGCTGTGCATGGCCGTGCAGCTCGAGCCTGACAGGTGCGTGTCGGGACATACATGTGTAGTATTGTTATGGCCAACACTCATCATTCAAGCCGAACATAAACAGAGACGAATACTGCTTTATTCCATCACCTCAACTGTACTACAATTTGTACTGCTTTTGAATTTGGTGCTGTGACTTTTTTGTTTTTAAATAATCATGTAATGAATATAAATGTTTTTTTAAAATAAAACTCATTTGGACCTTGGACTTAAAATGTTTATGAATGCAGACTTGATCTCGTCACTATATGGCTGGAATAATACTGATGTGACGTAATGCCCAACCCAACTCAACTCAAGTCAACTGTTTGAATACACTATGCCTTTTACAAAGTGGTCAAATCTGACATCTGATTTTGGGAATTACACTGTCTGTGTAGACTACATATTCTTGAACTTTACAATGTATTCTGTAACATTGTCCAGTCCAGTTTTTGATAATTTGCGTGATAATTCTACTAGCAAGAGTACTCAAACCAATTCAAATTAAATCTTAATTCTACCAAAGATTTTACTTTTGTTACACCGAGAACCAAGATCTGATGATAATGTTACTAAATCGCACCGAAACGCCGTACGGAGATAATATAAGAAAGCGGATATCTGTAAGTTATTGCTGTTTTCAGGGATACTGCAGTTTCTAATACAGCAAGTGTATTGCCCTGTGCGGCGGGTGTTGGTGGAAGGTCAGGGCTTGATTGCCCTTTTCGGAAATTCGAGGCGTACTCGCTGATTTATAAACTGTTTTGTTATTAATTCACAAACTGGACAAACAAGTTACTGAGCAAAATTATGTTGGCGGTCTTGAATAATTTCGGGGATATTTCATATGAAACCATGTGCTCAGTCTTCACGTAAAAAACACTATCCCCCAAAATATTCATGACCACTGACATAACTTTGCTCAGTATATAAATTGCATCATTATTTTGCCTTTTACGACTAGGTTTGGCTGTTTCGTTTATATTTACGTTGTGGGGAAAAACATAGATGCCTTTGAGAACCTAATCATCAATATTGTCCACAATTTATACATGGATATTATGTAAGTCCAGCCAATAGATCGTCTGCTCTGTGTGCAAGACAACGAGCGTTTGCACATTGACTAAACTTACATTTTTAGTTGACAGTTGGCTGTATGGTTTAGTCAAGCTGTTAAATGCTTATCTGCCTGGATTTCCTAACTTGGGTATCAACACTTTATGTTTTGTACATTGAAGGACTTGAATGGAAGCTGCCTCTTAAACAAAACGCGTATTTCAAGCTCTGTCATAGGAGCTACCAACAAACATACCCGACTTTCAACCTGCAGACCGAGCGGCAACAGTACAACTGGGGTCAGAATGATGATCAGTGTCCTCCTTATCAGCCATAAATCCTTCAGCACTCTCCGCAGCGACATCGTCAGCATCAGACGGCCTTTCTGGATGGTCAGTGTGACGACGGCGTGTCCTAGAATGAGGCCCAGTGTGGGCACAAACAGGAATACTTGGTTGCGGTTGTGTGGCGGCGAATTTGTTCTGTCACGAATGCCGTGAAATTTGTATGTGACCTGAGTATTAAGTACTAATTATAGTCTCCAAGCAAAGCACCAAAGCGCGTTAATTTTGAAGCCTTCAAATCTTCATGACCGCGGTGGCGTAACTGCAGAATCCACGAAGTCCAGAGAGGGATACATTTTGTATATACAAGTCTTGCTGTCGATAAACGCCTCGCAGAATAGGTCAGAAGATTACAGCAATGTTCGTATACTTTGACCACTGTTGAACACCGAAGAAAGGTCTAATTGGCTATCCTTGTTTTCTTTTTTGTTTTTTCGAGATAAGAGAACTTTGAATTTGGTGATGATGGTGCAGAAAAATTCCCAATCCATAACTTTCAAGGAAATGTATATATAATTCGCCTCCCTGATTGTTGTGCAAAAAAGTGCCACCTAAATATGTCACTGTTGTATGGCCAGAATGTACTTCGTAAATTAATGTATTTTGGTAGGCACAGCTAAGATGATAATGTTTGCTAGTGGTTCTAACGCGTAAAGCACGTTGATGTTGTAGTAGATGCTGGTGAAATGGTGTCCTTTCAACTCAGATCGACTTCGTAGCAACCGTTTACTATAGTGTTTGGCAAAGCCTGAGTGCAAGGATGAAGATATATGAGACAGACGGGCGTATTTTTATGTCTTGTGGCATTAAAGTACACGGTATCCACGCTGAGGATCACTAGCCCCATCTTCACCTTAGGTTGAGGATCGGTTGTGATTTGGGCAGTCTGCATGCAGGACATGGTGACAGATTTACAATACAGGGGAATCTGATTGGTTACAGGTATAGGCGCCACGTCTTGGATTCTACCGTTGTACCACATGCTTGTACCACAGCCCGAGACCACACAGCTCTCGACAAGTAACATCTCATCCAGCATAACAATAACCCTCGTCCCCACATGAGTCCAGGTCCGAGTCACTTCTGACATATCTTGAGGATACATTAGTAATTAGTATTCACAAAAACCCCATGCAGTCGTAAACCTCAAATCATATTTATATGCGCATCCTTGTCAACTTCCAATGAATTTCCTATTGTTATCCAAGCTGGATATTTCGGTGAGGTTACAATATGCAAGGGGCTTTATTAATAAAATCGGGAATTTTTATCTTGTCATAAACGGTTCTTAACTTTATGGCTGCATGGATTCGAACCCTTGAACGTCTCATGACATTTCATTGATTCTCAACACATACTGCTTTTGTCAATTAGGCTGAACAGAGTGAATCTGTTGAAAATAAACTAGCGTCCAAAAGAAACGCCACCAAAATAGAAATTATCATAAATTGTCAAAATAATTGCCAATCTGCTGAAAAACGGCTGACAACACATCCCTCGAACACAACCTGTCTATTCCCAGTGAACAAGTGCACGAGATTTTGATGATTGGTGAGTTAAATGAATTCGCACAGAAAAAATGCACAAAGTTACCCGTATGACCGGAGGGTATAAAACCTGACTAGATTTGTTCTCTCTCATCATGTGACACGATTGAAAGCAGCCAACATGCCTCGATTGACCAAAGAACAGAGGGAAAGAGCAATTGGTATGCTTCAGATGGGCGCAACACAGGAGCACGTGGCCAGGATCATGGGATGTTGCAAGTCCACCATCGCTAGACTTTTCACACGTCACAGACAGACTGGAAGTACTGCTGACAGACCCAGGAGTGGCATACCCAAGGTCACGACCCCACAGGAAGATCGATATTTACGGGTGCTTCATCTGAGAAACCGCTACCTCACTGTGACGTCATCAAGCGCCAACAGCCTTGGACATGCAGTCAGCAGACATACCTTAGCAAGACGACTCCGTCAGCATGGTATTCGTGCCTATCGACCTTTCAAGGGAATGACGTTAGCGCTCCGACACCGACGTGCCAGATTGAGGTGGGCCAGGACCGTAATGCAGTGGCAGCAGCAAAACTGGCGAAGAGTGCTCTTCAGTGATCACTAGTGACTTCCTCAACACTAACAACGTCAACCTGCTACAGTGGCCAGCGAGATCATCCGATCTGTCTCCAATCGAACACCTCTGGGACCAACTGGGGCAACGTATTCGGAAACGTCAACAGCCGCCATTGACTAGGGATGCTTTGGCAGTTGCCCTGCAAGAGGAATGGCTCCGAATCCCTAATGATGACGTCAGAAGGCTCACATACGCAGTTCGACGCCGCGATAGAGCCTGCATCACTGCTAAGGGTGGCCACACACGATACTGAATCATCTGTGTTGTTCAGGACAGTTTAAGACCTTAAAGACGAATCAGCGTTGGCGATCGAATACTGGACACTGCACCCCTGTGTCATCCATGTGCCTTCAGAACACGAACTGTTTCGTTTTTCTAACTGAAAAGTTTCACGAACTGTTGCTGAATGATTGTGTTTTACAATACAACACTTCTTGTTACCATAATTTGCTTTTGTTGTGTTTTAGTGAAGAATACTGTTTGGGGTAATATATTATTGCATGTAGTGTGTGACAAGTATTGTATGATCACTGAATCATCATAAATGTATGTGTGCTAAAAAGAAACATACACATTCCTTTCTACGATCTATTTAAGCAAAAGCTGAGAGGGTCTTTAGTTACAAGAAACACTCAAACTGTGTGGGGTAAACACACCGGAGTTCCCCAAGAGCGCAACAGATCGTGCATTGTATCTCGCCACAGGTTTGGTTTATAAAAGCATGTACATAGACATTCATACGTTTTATGAAGTGTAAAGTCAGCTTAAGGTTAGTCACCACTCGGTTTATGCATTACAACCTGAATCTTTGGGATAAAGCAAGACACAAAACAGCAGTTGTACAGGAATCAGGTGAGGAAAGAATTGAAAAACAACAAATCAACCCCGACAGTGACATCCAGCCTATAAATACATGTTTGCAGGGTTCCTGGTAAATCTTCATGTCAGAGTTGGGATAATGAATCAACTCCACTGTGAAAGACATTTCCATAATTTGATAATTTTTTCTTACCTCTGCATTGAAAATATATGTGAAAAAGATTGCATGTAAACCCATTTAGGTTGCTACACATTCATATTAATAGTGTGTGGTTATTACTGAAGAGGACTTCTAGGAAGCAAATAAAACTTAAGACATGCTAACACAATTCCCGTTTTGTCACCGTTGATCATTCAGTGAATTGTTGTCAACAGCACAATGGTTTTAGAAGCAGTCATAAAATAATCGGTGTGTCATATAAGATATGATAAAATCCAGCTTGAATGGAAACAGTTTTGTGATTGGCAACGTCCTTTTAAAACGCATGCTTTTGCTCCAAAGTTATGGCTGAATGTCAAAAATGAAAGGAGTCAATACAACAGAAAAACCGTTTATCGTAAATATGTATTTATTTTTATAAACAGCTATAACAATTATCAAAGCATGATAACAAGGGGGTAACTTAGCAGAATTTCTGCGCAAATATCAACTGTCCTTACTTAGGGCCAGTAATAACTTTTGACAACTGGGAAAATACACTCAACATTTGATACAGTTTAATAAGTTATTTCCAGAAAATAGTCTCATGGCGAGAAAATGTAACATCTGAAAGTAAAAGATTTATTACAGAAGATGTATTTGATATTAATAACATGTTTTTGCAAATTGAGCCTTTCTCTCTCTCTGGCCAATGCCTGGAATACGTCTAGACTGTTACTGTGTCCTCCATCAATAATCTGTCTCTTCTTGATCTGTTGGTTAATTTTAAATTAAACAGTATTATCAATTATTGAGATCACTGGTACAACCTCTGGCTACTTTTACTTTCTTGTTGGACAAACACAAAATGAAGTCGTAGAAATACAAACTCATTAATGAAAATGAGTTTCTTTTCTACCATTTAAACATGGCTGATTCTATTCACAATACTGGATAGGAATAGAAATCTCGAACAACTTAATGTTCATTGAACTTTGCACCAAATAGAGTCACATCAACAACCCAATGGTGGGCAGCAGCTACACCATGATAGCTTTGGCAACAACACTTGCTTTCTTCTTCTTTGCTTGAACACAGTGGGAATCCTCTATGTCCTGACTGTTACACACCTCAAACTCATTTGACTGAAACATCAACATTAACAGAACAAGCTGCTAGATTCATAAGTTTGAAGAAAAGCATGTTAAAATATCAGCAAATAGGATAGTCATGTGCTGAAAGTGTTGGTTTATCAAGCTACATATTAACTCTGCCAATAAATAGGATACGACACATTCTCTTTTTGCAGTTTAACTGCCATGGTCATCAACACATATAGAATATTGCTATAGTGAATTTGTGATAACAAATCTTGACAAAATGAGAGACCAGCACCTTTCAATAACATCTCCCAATAGTGGAAAGTAGGTAAACCAAGTTCTGTGGATAGTCAATTTGTTGTTTATTGCAATGAGTGTGATGTTTTGGTGTAGGTACTAACACCGTTATCAAGCAAGGACAAGAATTTGTTTATGGATGACAACTTCTTTATTGTGAAGGGTCACTAAAATGCCTCTCAAAGAAGTGGAAAAGTATATGATTCCTTTTGATTGAATACTTTCTTCTGACACTACATTTGGTGATCAGCAACAGCCTATTGTGTAATGGACTTCAACTCACATCATCAACTTTTGAGAAAGCTCTTTTCTTTCCCCTGTTTCTGTCAGACTCCACTACATTTGTGATTGTGCAAATTTCAGGTTCCTTGCTCTGGAATTGAAATGAAAGAATATTGAGGAATATGCTGTTACAATGTGTTACCTGGCTGAGTCTGTGCCGTATTATATGAAAGAACTGGATTCTTTCTCATGTGATCAATTACTGGCTTTACCCAGGCCGCATTATCAACAGCTGATTCCTGCAAAATTAACTATTAGTGAGTGGATTTTGTTTAATGTGACTGTCAGGGCACTCCCCAGCAAAAAAAGGGAACAACTTCAAAATGATTCTGACAAATAACCTTTGAACTCTCTTTTGACCGGAGTCTTCTGCCACAGAGGTTCATTCCCTCAGTTTTTTCCACCAACATCTCAACCTGAAACAGTGGAACATATAACTGTTCAGTTTCATGACACAATCAGTTGCCAGTGTTCATATCCAACTATATAGTCTACAGCTGATTTCAAACTAGTAAATTATGGAAAAGTAGTCAGAAAACATAACTTATCCCATATAATTTTGATATTCTTCAACGAATTCACTAGCGGGTAATCACATCCCATCAATATTTTTCCCAAAATCCAAAAATACTAGTATATACCACAGAAATATTCTGTTATAACGCCTGCCCTGAAGAAAATTCATCAATGTTATCAGAATTACCTGATAGGATATCAAAGATTTAACATTCAGAATACTCACTTCGCAATTTTGAATTAATTAGAACAATATGGATTTACTTGTATCTTTCAATAAAAGTAAACTGTAGTAAACAGTGAACAGTTGTTGTTACTAGTTTTCATATCAGTTTCCAGATACATTTCCAGATGTAAGTTATCACTGAATACATCAATACATTTATTTAGTCTTGAAGGAAGAGAAAGATGATGCATATTTCAAATAATTTACTGTTACTAACCTCATTCTTGGAGTCCTTATTTTTGTCAACCCCATTTACTTCAATATGGTGGGGTTCGTCAGTCTGGAAGAAAATGGTTCTTTTAATGTTTGAATAAGATATAAAACTAAATCTGTACCATGCTTAGTTTAAAAGCTCATATTTGAATGTTTCATTCATTCATTCATCAACTTTCACATCAATACTAACAGTCTTGTTTTTGTCTAAATCTTGAGATCCTCTTGTCTTTTTCTTCTGGAAGTACTTTTGAATCCCTTCCTTCTTCACCAACGCCTTGTCAACTATTTTTCCCAGTCTGAAGAAATAAGGAAAGTAAGGTTATAAGAGCAAGGATTCAGTTGCGTCAGTTCCTTTTTGTTTTCGTTTTCTGGTCCTAGTGATGTTACACAAATGACTTTTATGACTGGATATATTTTTCTGGAAATTAGTGTGTGAATTGTAATACTACTAACTACGTACAGGGACTCAGTGTTCAAAATTAATGGGGCTTATGTTCAAAGGTAAAGAGTTAGGGAGACTGGCTGACTCATTTAATAGAGCAAAGAAACTTGCATGGTTCTGTATATCAAACTAATATAGTTTTAGTAAATCACTTGCTTCTTGCCCTTCCCCGGATTTCTGATAAATTTCTCTTTCTCTAGTCTATTCATGAGACCCTGTGCCACTGTGATTTCAATTCCGAGTCGCCGAGCGAGATGAGGAGCAAGCACCCTACTCATGTCAGTGCAGGCCAGCAGTGCTCGACGCCACAGACAAGTTGCCTTCAAACACAAAAACATTTGCAGTACTTATTACATCAAATGTATATATTGTTTCTGCAAGTGAAGTCACGGTCAAACAGATTTGACATTGTTGGTGACGCAAACAGATTGCAGGACGAACCACAATATTGAAAAATGTCATGACAAAAAATAATTTGGAGTTTCAAGGTGGGCAAAAAATAGAATATAGAATTAATTCCCTCTACTTGTCCTCAAAAGAATGTATTTGGTCACATACGACAAGTGGATATTAGCAAAGTGCTGAAGACACTATTTGACAGAGTGAGATAGTTTAGTTTTACGCCACACTCAGCAATATTCCAGCTATATGGCGGCGGTCTGTAAATAATCGAGTCTGGACCAGACAATCCAGTGATCAACAGCATGAGCATCGATCTGCGCAATTGGGAACCGATGACATGTGTCAACCAAGTCAGCGAGCCTGACCACCTGATCCCGTTAGTCGCCTCTTACGACAAGCATAGTCACATTTTGTGGCAAGCATGGGTTGCTGAAGACCTATTCTACCCCGGATCTTCACGGGTCCTATTTGACAGAGAACTAGAGGTTTGCTTACATTTCTTTAGTATGTATCGCCATGACTTCACGTAAAACTGACAGTCTACTAAACCACGATGATGATAATGAACATTGACTGTAAATGGTTTGTTTATGTGCCAGAATTACAAGTCCACTTAACTGAACTTAGCTGTACACTGGAGTGTGTAACTAATAGAGGCCAATGAAGTGAAGAACTGAACTTTCTAGTAAGAATGCAAGATACCTGTACAGCTATTGAAGTCATGTCAGACAGCTGAGGGTCGGTACATATTTTCACTCCCTGAAAACAATGAGAATATGATCCTATCAAATAAGACAAAACAATTTCAGCCAATATTAGGTCAGAGATCAATCACTGAATTCCCTAAAACAAATAGATTTGTCTTGAATGATATGTACTCTTATACAATATGATTTCTGCCATTCAAGCACCTCTTATATTCTGTAAAATTAAAGCAACCTTAATCATGTTTGTTGTTATATGTCTTGCCAACAATCTTCCTGCTATAACAAGGCAGTGTGTAATCAAGCAGGCCGGACAAACTACCTGCTGATATTATTAACCATGTCCCCTGTCAGGATATGATGACATGTCCCCTGTAGTCACCAAACAATCCAATTTCTTTGCTTCTAACAACAAATTATATGATGCTGAGAGCTATTCTGAGCTTTTATTGGATTAATAAGTTATGACTTGGTTACATCTTACTGTGGTGCAGACATCACAGATGTGTTCCTCTGGAGCATCTTCCTCCTCCGTTATAATGAAACATACTCCATGCTGCCAGTACTTGCACACACCACACATGATCATCAACCCATCATCCTGGAAGAGACAAATGATGGTATTAAACATGCACTTTATCATTTCTTATTATCTGATAACAATTTCACACTCAAACTTTCTTAGACGTTTCAGACACTTTGATGTAAACTTGAAGGCTCTTGGTTAGGATTTCATGAGATAATCACATCACTAGGACAGGATATGCAAGAGATATACCCAAAACTTTTCGAGAAGTATCAGTCACCATCCCTACAGTTGTAGGTGTGGGGCCACCGTGGTGAAACCGAGGAGACCTCATGAAGAAAGTGTGAATATATATATCTGTCTTATACCCCACTCTGACATTTAAATAAAACATTTGTTTCACATCCAAAATGGACATTTTGAGTTATGTATCTTTCTTCTTATTGCATCTGCACCCATATGTTAAGATCAGCGACAACCAAATAAGAGCATGTGCAAAATGTGCAAGCAAGTGAAGGCAAGTTCTTAAAAGCATGAAGTGCACAAGAAGGGCCAAACAAATGTTTTAATGGGTCCTTACTAAGCACATTGACTCTGCAGATTTTATTCACCTACTTGGGGAGCTGTCCACAAGGCATGATGCACTCTGCTGAGTGCTGTGATGGGTTTGTAAGCCAAGTGCTTGATTTTGAATTTGATGACAGTGAAAACTTTAACTTATCTAAGCAACAATTTATATATAGAAATCAAGATCCACTATGTGAAGGAAATGTACAGAAGTTTCAATGGATAGTTGGGCATGCACTCGCAACACACATGTGAGTGCACAAGGTATAGATGGTAAAAAGAGTAGGTGTATCGGCCAATACATCTACACTTTACACAAAGGAAACCATGGCAACCAAACCGGAAGCAGTGTATAAGAAATCTACAACACTATTTTGTTCACACCTTCGAACTTCACACATCATCATGCACAGCTCCTCAGACATTGGGTAATTGGCTGATTGATATGATCAAAACCTTCCCCTACATTGATAATTCAAAAATGTCCAAACATTGAATCATGGCAAGGCAATGTTTTACTTTATTCATACTGATTAGAATCATTTTGCCAACCACCTGGATTTACTCTTTGCACTTTGCCAGTAGTTAATCCTACCACAGTTAACGAATATCGAATTATAATTAACACCATAATTAGCAAGGTCGTGCCTGGCTGGTAAATGATAAAAATGTTAAAGAAACATTACATGACTATAAGTTATATATATATAAATTGTTTATTTTTTTTTTGTATATCTGTAACTTTATTCATAAGAAGAATCATATATTTTTTTTAAATTTTGTAAAATGAAATAAATTGGTAAAGTGTTGAACTGACTTGAGTTTTAATCCCCTACTAATCCCCTTTGTTGCACCATTAATTTTAATTAATTGCTTGACAATGAAACTGGCAAAGTGGGAGGACACCACCACCTGATGTTCACCCATAAATCATTTATGGTCATGTTGGCTTTCACAGGTGCACTGTTAAATATAAAACCCTATCTACTTTGTCTTCACAACTACCTCATTGCATCCGCATGGGCATCGGACTTTGTACTCATCTGCAGCTACTTCACTTGTGAGGGGCATGACCTCTGCTGAATTGTTGTCAACAGCTTATGAAAATATAATAAGAGGGCCACATTACTACTTATTTTAAGTTACTAAATTCTTCCTTTCAATTTGTATATATGCAGTTACAAGTAACATGGTGGTTTTAAAGAGAAAGTTGTTTTCGGAGTGAGTGAGTGAGTGAGTGAGAGAGCTGTTTTTTATGCATTGAGAAATATTTCTTCCTTTTTCACAGCAGGATACATCAAGAACGGGCAAAACCCATATTGGAACAAATGCTTTATCAACACAGCTGAAAAATTATATAAGGACAAATAATTCACCATGATGGATCAAGGCAGTAACTAGAATGAATCGGTTTAATATAAAAGATCAACCTCCTGAAGTGTACTGACCAGGGGATGGTTTAGCAGGACTAATTTCGGGGACTCGAACATCCTCCACTAGCCTTTCACCCTCTTCTGGCAACTGCCTTTTCACTGGATTTGTCTCCCTTGTCTTGTCCTGTTTTAGTGAACAAAAATGTTACAAAGACTCTACCTCTGTATGCCAATATAATGCTAACCAAGTTCAAACCTTCCTTCAAATCTTGAACTGTTACTAGAATACATACTTACAAAAGTGGATATGTAACAAATGCAATGATAAAAAGAAGTATAATTTTGGCATGAAGGATGAATATTGGTTCTTATCACTAGGCACCCGTGAAGGTCCGGGTTAAAATATTGATCTTCAGTAACCCATGCTTGTCGTAAGAGGCGACTAACGGGATTGGGTGGTCAGGCTCGCTGACTTGGTTGACACATGTCATCGGTTCCCAATTACGCAGATCAATGCTCATGCTGTTGCTCACTGGACTGTCTGGTCCAGACTTGATTATTAACAGACAGCCGCCATATAGCTGGAATATTGCTGAGTGCGGCGTAAAACTAACCTCACTCACTCTTATCACTAGGAATCACAAATTGTGTGTAAAATGTACCTACATTGACATCCATGACTTCATTATCAAGGCCGTTGTTGGAGATCTCCTGAGACACTTCCTGGACCTCCTCCTCCTCCTCAGCAGGGTCTTCCTTCATCTCAAACTGCTTACTGTCAGTCTTGATACGCATTTTGACACTGTCAAAACAACCATTATTGCACACATAACTTTACGATTTGAAGTAAAAATATTTTCAATTTATAAATATTTTCAAAATAACAGTCCCAATGGGAATTCTGGAGAAGACTAGATCACATTGTAAACCTGTTTGTTGTGAGCCCACTGTTGAGAATCAGCTGCTGCAGCATGGATCCCTGTTCATTACAGGTTTGTTAGGCCGAGACTTGTCACTCAAAACAAAAGCTGTATTACTGGAGTATATTTTGTTTCTTTATGTTCCATTTTAACAGGAAAAATTGAAACAGTCATGCAGACAAAATGAAAAGCAAAATGTAGGACAAAACCCACAGATTGTGTAGTTATTGGACCTATGCTTGTTGATAGTTACTCACGTGTGGAATGGCTGCAAGGTTGTTTTTCAAGTTTGATATGAAATAAGAGAAAAAATCTTGCATTAACACTAAAAAAGTCTACATGTTGATCAAGCAAGCTATTTAAGGGACACATCATCTATAATAGGGTGGTGTTTGGTTGAGATGGATGCCCGAAAGCTATATTTTGGATGACCCTCCCTTTTCCCTTGTAAATGTTTTAATGATTCTCCCTCAAAAGACAAAATGCAAAAGCACTTTTTATTTTATTATAAACTGTCCATGTTTCCTCTAACCCAACCACCTCTATGATAAATGACCAGTCCCTGATGTAAATTTAAGAAACTGATATATCATGGCCTATTGACAGCATATCTTTACAAATTTGAATATACACATCCACATTACAATAACACCTGGTTCCTTCTCAATTTTAACCTGCGATCAATGAATAATTTACTTACAGTAGCAACATCTCCAACTTTGATGTTGGTTGGCTCTTCATCAAATTTAAATCCATCAGTCTCAGCTGCCTTAAAACCTGGAGGTTCATAGTCTGCAGGGGTGACTGAAAATGATACATTTCTTCCACTTATTGCTTATCAGATTAGGAGTTAATAAAATAAGTCAACAACAAAAGCTTTCATGCTGGCACATATCACACTCTGGGCGACTTTTCTGTATCTTATACATATGATGGCAGTCATTAAAAGGATAAAATATACTGAGTGAAACAAATAAAGGAACATAGGAAAATTCAAGTGTTTCTTTAATATTTTCCAGTTTTAAACACCAGCTTTGAATAGCGTTGTGGGAGGAAATTGGGAATAGATATAGGAACAGGAACAAAGCAACGAAGTGGTGTTCCCTTATTTGTTTCCCTCAGTGTATGTATATATATTATATATATAAAGAAAGTGATGAGAATACCGAGCGTACAGTAGTACATATATAAGAAGTTTCTGAAATAATCACACTACACGGATCTTCTCCTATATATATATATATTTTTTTTTTCAGCAGTGACAAAATAATCAAAATTTATATTGTTTGCTCAAAAAATTTCCGTGGAAACTTCCTTTCACTATCTGAGACTAACACTTGTAAGCACTAGTTTTATTGGGAGGGGGCCATGTCATGGTTATACTGATCCCAGGGTGACTGCAATCCTCAACAAGGTAAACAAAAAGAGCAAGGCACTAATACCCCTAGAGCGTTATTCCTATAGTCCGTTTGGCTCAAAATTGGACCGATGAATGATGGTTTGTTAAACAACTTATATATTTAGTTTTCGAGTTAGATTGCAATTCATCGGTCCAATTTTGAGCCAAACGGACTATAACTTTGGCTGAACAACAAATGATAATGATGAAATTTTGACAAAAATACAGGATTTGTATAAAACTTTGCACTACACCTTTGGTATATTATTGATTTTTAAAGTTATTGGTTAAACAAATTTGACATACTTTTCCCTGCGTTCAAGATATGTGATTTGTGATATTCTTCATAAAACAAAACTATCAAAATATGACTTTGCACTGCATCTCCGATAGATAATGAGGGTGCTCACCAAATTGAAAATATTCCATTAAAAAATGTTCAAGTTATTGGTTGAACAAAAATATCAGTCACAAAATATGTTAATGAATGCAACTCTTTCGAAAATGAGAAAATCAGAACTAAACTTTGCACTGCATCTCTCCATTAAACAAGGAAGCTGCTTTCTAAATTTGAGAACATTTCAACCAATGCTTTTCAAGTTATTGGCTAAACAAACTTCCTTTTCAGTTCAAATTCTTAAATTGTTGTAATTCTTGAAAACATTCAAACAGCACAATCAGAATTTGCACTGCACTTCTCCTTTAGGCTAAGAAGGTAGTGAAAACAGTCCAACCAACAGTTTTCAAGTTATTGGTTGACCAAAATGTCTTCGGTTGGACAGCATTCCTTGGTATTACGTTAAACCCCAACCTTTTTAGGGGTATCATATTGATATTGATCTTTCACCAATCAGGTGCATCCACTCTCAATCTTTGGGGGCATAGGACAAACTGTTTTGCTTCTGTTATCACTCTGCACCATAGTAACCTGACTATCATCAGGTATCATCGTGACATAATATATTCTCTGAATTAACCTTACCACTGTTACAGTGTCAAATGGCATACTTTTCAAGAACCTATATATAGTCTTTTTCAGTTGTATTTTTAAGGGCATTCTTCCAAATAATCAATTTTAAAGAAAATAATCTTGTTCAGACATTTTGGATTTGGGATAATGTAACATGATTGAACATGAAATTCTGACTCTAGGCAAGTTTATTCAACTTGGGTCATTCGCTACGTATTTGTAAGAAAGATCAAATGACTTTTAGCTCATGTCTTACCTTCATCATAGTAGACTAGTTTCATAGTCATCATTACATCGTCAGGAAGTGATTTTAGTGTTTGAGTCAGTACAACAATGGTACGCAAAAGACGGATTGTTGCCTTTCTGGTCTCAGCAGCAGTGTATGCACTGGAAATTTTTCTGCTGTTTCTGAATGATGACATCATACGTTAGATATCAGACTTAATGTATGTTTAACACAAATGCAAACATAGCTTAACTGCTTTCCCACTTTACTACTTGAAACAAAACAAAGACAGATATACATAAATCCACCTGCTCAATTTTCAGTTGATCTCAGTTTCATAATGTTGATTAATAATTGCTATTAGTTTGAACTACCAGTCACAACTATTTATACAACACATTCTTTTGACTAGTGGCTAGGGTTACAGACTGAAAGCAGTTTTGACAGATCAACCTATAAAACTTTTTGAACTTGGGTGTTCTTTAACAGAATGAATAATTATGATATTAAAAGCCTTGTGATAAACTTGTTTGTGTAAATTGTCTCATATTTTTTTTCAACATTGGAAATATAGCTGATACAACCTGTATATATCGATGCCTCCTTCTGCTGAGTAGGAAAACTTGAAGGTGTATGACTCTATAACAGTCTGAAAACAAACAAAATTCATGCTAGTGATATACCTATCATGAAAGATATTGAAGAAAACTGAAATTAGAAAAGGAACTGTGTGACATGTTTTACAGCATGTACAAAGCAAGAACCAAATATTCTGTGCATGACCAATTGTCAGAAAGGCTATATTGCTTTTTCAAATTCAGCTAATGCAAAACACTATTCTTGCGAGTTCTAAACACCACTTTATATCAACATGTACATTTTTTTGCAAATTACCTCTGGGTTATCTGGGTCCAGGTAGATCTGCAACATACAAACAATCAGTGAATCTGATGCAAATATGTGCAATAGGGATGTCAATGATATTCCAGTAACAATGAAATGAAAAAATAATGAATCGTAAACTTCATACCGAGATCATAAATATATTCTGAGGTGTTCTAGCTGAGTCTGAAGCTTGATGCGCTCATGACTATGTATAACAGAAGCTGAAATTCATTACTTACCCCTATCACAAGCATTCTTAGCTGAAAAGGTGAAAACAGAATTGTTTCAGTAGTTCAAAACTAGAACAATTATTAACACAGATATGATATTAAATATGTACAAAACAATTCTGCTGGAAGACATTATATTTATATAAACATATAACAAGAATGTATTACTAGGGGCAAATGAGACCTGTAAAATATCCATTTCAAATGACCATTCACACTTATTTACACTCACATATTTCTTGTCCAGAGCATCAAAGCAACCCTTGACCCACTTGATGACTTGGCATGCTCCAGGACATGAACTGTCATCTCTCAGTATCTTCAGGTTCAAATCTAGCAGCGATGAATAGATGTGATTAGCACATACATAGCATCAGTACATGTATATAGCCAAGGATTATCTAGTACTTTTTAATCTCTATATTTGGCACATGAAGTTGAACTGTAATTTACATTAATACAAGATAAAGTCAGGTTGAGCATTTGCAAAACCTTTCAAGAACAACAATGATATATATATACTTTATCTATTCCTTGGAAGGCTCAGATGAAGAAAGCAGATTCAAATACCAATATATTTCTGTGCTACAGTACAACCAGAAATAATTGAGAATTTAAGATTGTAATTTTTTTAATTTTGTTCACTCATTACTCACGTATTAAATGTGAATATTAGCAGAACATAACTCCAGATACAAAGACAGGTGAACAGTTAGTACTTTGTCAAGTCACCATGGGCAGCAATGCAGTCTTCAATGCAGCGGGGCATACTACTGATCAAAGAAGTTAGAAAGTCGTGGTCCATGCTGTCCCAATATCGGACCACCTCTTCTTTCATTTCAGCAATATTTGTCAGAATTTTCTTATTGACACTTTCCTTCATAAGTCCCGAAACATTTCTATTGGATTTAGGTCAGGGCTATAGCTTGGCCAATCTAATAATGTCATATTTTGGGTCCAAAATCAGGCCCATGAATGCTTTGAACAATGTTTTGGGTCGTTGTCCTGCTGGAAAATCCAAAAATTCCCATAGAACACGTGAGCAGATGGAAGTAAATGTCCCTCGAGAATATCTGTGTACCGCTCACTGTTCATATTCCCTTCAAAATACACAGAGGGGCGTTGCCCCTAACACAGATATGCCTCCCCACACGTTAAATTTCAGACTGTACTTTGGGCGCTGATACAAAGGTTTTTCAGTTTGTTTGGTCCAAAATTTCAGTGTATTAGGAAACAGCCACACAGAACTTTCATCTGAGAAAATCACATTGTCCCAGTTAAAATATCTATGCTGTAAGCACCAGTTCAACCTTCGCTCCTTTTGTTCAGGTTTCATGATCAGTGATGGCATTCCTCGACTTTTCTGCCAACCCATTGCATGCAGCTCAGTTCTAATTGTCTCCTTACAGACAGCCACAGTTCTTCTATCAATCATATCTAGCCTTAAGTTTTCTAAACTCCTTCGTTTGTTTTTAGAAACAAGAATACCAAGCCGCCTCCTGTCACCGACAGTCAATTTTCTGGGCCTACCTGTGCCTCCCTGGTGCTCAATGCCATATCCATTTGAAATATTTTTCAAAAAACGATAAACAGTGGACAAAGGGATGCTTGTTCTACTTGCAATCACTTTAGCTGATCTGATGTCCTTGTAATAATACTCTAAAATCAACTTCCTCTTCTCTAAATTATCAATACTGAGGATCACTGAAAATGTCGTCTGCTAGCAAGTAAACAAAGGAGGATAACTCTTCACAAACTAATGAAAAAAGGATGAACGGAGTTGTCTCTCTTGAATGAAACCAAGCACTTGATAGCTGGTCAAGGTAGTTTATACTAGAAATCCAATTAAACATATTCCTAAAATTCTCAATAATGTCTGGTCATACTATATATAGCATGGGCAAGATATCGTGAAGCACTTTCTGTCATGACATTTAGGAACTGGAGAAAATACATATTCATTATTACAAGAGATTTGAGCCTGTTTCTATACCCATGCATTGTTATTTCACAGTCAAGGAGTACCGTTTGGGAAAACAAGCAGCTTTTTACTTATACTGCTGCAATGTTTCATTGTCCAATGCATGAGTTTGCTATCTTACTGGTTGTAAGAAAAGAGATTCAATGAACTTCAAAGTAGACATAACTCCATTTTGAAAACTCAGTGTACCTTTTTCCATAATATACTGTAACATCATTGAAAGCGCACCACTTATGAAAGTTCAGATTATTAAAAGCATGTGTAAGGAATTGATATTTTTTGAGTGGATAATAACAGATGGACGACTGACAAAAACAACAACACAGAAAAGACGCTCATTCATTGAAATGTTCCACAGTCAGAAAGGATCAAACACACGTGGGGTCAAATTGAAAAGTCAATATTGCGTGTGACCACCATTTGCATTGACACATGCAGTTCAACGTCTCCTCATTGAGTCAATAAGTGTCGAAATAAAGTTCTTGAGGATGGCATTCCACTTCTGCAGTAGTGCAGCCTCAAGTTCCCGGATGTTCCCCCGGAAGTGCTCCATGGGGGATACATCTGGTGACTGTGCTGGCCAATGAATAACCTGGATGTGTTGCTGGGCCAGATACTGCATGGAAAGTCTTGTTGTGTGTGCCCGTGCGTTGTCCTGTTGAAAAGTATGGACATCTTGGTGGTGATTGAAGACAGATACGATGTGAGTCTGAAGAATCTGCTCACGGTAATATAGGGCATTAACTCTCCCTTGACAGACATGAAGGCAGTCCTGTGATTGTAATTTATTCCACCCCAGACCATGACACTCCCACCACCCAAAGGTCTGTCTGAACCACACACTCATCAGCATAACGTTCACCACGTCTACGCCAAACACGTAATCGTCCGTCAGCATTACGTAGATGAAGACGTGACTTGTCAGTGACTACCACACCATGCCATTGTTGTAACCTTTACTGAAAATGCCTGCTAGCCCATTGTATACGCTCATTACGGTGTCTGTCAGTCAGAATTGGTCCAACATAAGGACGTCGAGCATGGAGCCCTGTAGCGTGTAGACGGCGTCGCATGGAGTCAGCGCTGATGACCCCCACGTCAACCTTGAACTAGTGCAGCAGTCCTGGAAAGTCGGCAGTGTTCAATCACTGATATGGACACTGTCAATATGGCGATCCTGATGGAGCGTCGTAACACGTTGTTGCCAAGGTCATTGAAGGTCACAGGTGCTGCCTGTCTACTGATGTCGTCTATGAAGCCTAACGATGGTGGAGAGGCCAAGTCCAAGTTGTCGAGCAATATCCCTGCTGCTGGTGCCAACCTGAATCATGCCTAGTGCACGTTCTCTTTCGTGAGGTGTTAACCTCGGCATCTCTGTCCTCGTTTCACAATCGTTAGTGAAGCAGTGAGAATGGGTTCTCATACACTTGCTTTTAATGTCACAGTCAGTATGATTCCAGAATGAATTTCGCGCTTTTTTCATGGCGTGGCTGCATGTTGATGCATTTTGGAATTAAGAGTCATACTGTGGACAGGAATTTGTTTCTAAAGCATTTTTTCCACTGGACATGCCCTTCGACTTCATGTTAGTTATATTCATTGATCATTGTCATGCTGAAATCCATCTTGATGAAAATATGAACAATTTTATACTGGTGCGTTTTCAATGATGTTCAGTATAGCAAAAAAAGTATATCCAATGTCATACTCATAACTATCAGATTGAAAGATATATTTTAATGAGCTTCCTTACATAAATGACTCTCACAGCAGATATACTTGCATCATAATAAATAAATGTGACATATTTAATAGTTTTTTAATATACTGTAATCATGGTTATTTTCGCATGGGATTAATTTTCGCGCTTTTAGCGCAAAATGATTGTGCGTCAATAATCATACCAAGCGAAATATTCATGGTCAAGTCATGACAAATACTCAAGTAGGAACAACATGCAATATGTTTTTTCTCTCAGATAACAACATCAAAACAATATACAAAGGAATAGAGGCATATACTAGTATACTAGTAATAGCCATCACCATCAGCAAATGTTTGTTATCAGTTGATAGCTGATTACTCGTAATCACAAAATGAACGAAGCTCACTTACATCAGTCACAAATCACAATGTTGACACAAGTATAATCCCAGATCTCTCTGACTGTTTTAGTAAACACGATTCAATTATGGCGGCTAGCTTTGATCATTGCATGCCTATAGGTTGTGAAAACTTTGTGATGGACACCATCACTCAGGCCTTTGAAATGCGCGAAAAAACTACTGCGCTAATAGGTCTTTTGTGAACCTTCCACGAAAATTGCACCCCCGTGAAAATATATAGGATTACAGTATTTAAGTATAATTAGTTAAAATTAATTCCTTGACATTATAGGAAAGACGTCCCTTTGTATATTACCCTCTAAACACCTGTCTCCAAAGGCATGCTCTGGGAATATTGCCCTCAGATAGGTCACATTGGAAATTGCCACTGCCAGCAACTTCTTCACAAACAAAGCAGACTGCTGCTCTGTAACTTGTTCATTGGGGAATATTGAAGCCCACTACAATATAAAGAAAATCTATATCAAAGAAAGAGCTATACACTAAGTAATACAACAGTTTAAAATAATACAGATTTAAAATTAACTAAATATAATTAAGAGGGACTGTTAGCATTCACTTCAGTGTTGGCTTCAAGACATCAGCAACCTTGTGGCCAGTGAAAATGTGTAACAACTTGTGGTTTCTCCCAATAAACTGGTCTGGAAATAATTATGAACTACCTGGATTTAACTCATGTTGTGAGGTAATTTGCTCACACAGTATCATTTTAAATGGTATTTAACTTTTCAGACAATGTCCAAACATAAACTTGATAGTTGCAAAAGAAAAAGCACACCCAAAAAAGAAATGCCATAGAAACACTCATAGTAAAAAAATATTTTTATCTTTGGTTGTCATTGAAACCAGCTTATGCTTGGCAAATGCAATAATATGACTACATCTTATGGAATACCCATGTTGTTTCAGACAGCAAGTTAAAAATATCACTGAATCCCAACTTTGTGTACACACATGCATGCCTGTATCAGATATAGATGGTGCAATGCTTACTGTGCCTGTCTTTTCTTGAGGTCGAAGGAGTTGAGCTGTTGACACGAAAATTAATGTCTTTACAGCTAAATCACCTGCTAAATATCTGCTGTGACTTAATCTGAAAAAGAGTAATTCAAGTAAGTATTTGGTTTGAATTGACTAAATCCACATGCAAGACTCAAGTTACAAAATGTTACACACGATAAATACACAATCAGTATTATAGACATTATATATCTTTGTTTGTGCAATCCCCTAAGCATGTTTGAATTCAAGTTCACAATGTTATGTTTCTTGGTTTAAAAACACCATGCCCTTGGGTTTCAATTTCAGCAATGCGTTAAATATCTACGATCTGCCTCTCTTTGATCTGTCCTCCCTCATTAACTGACAGGCAGGGATACATTGAAATACTGTTCACAGCAGTAAAAACAACTCATACAATCACTTCTTCGGGAATGATAAGGCTTAATGACAGTTGTGTGATAGCTTTCTCATCAATGTAACAGGTACACTAATTGTGTTTGGTCCAGGCAACGTAGTGGTTGATAGTTTTAGGAGAAAAATGTAACTTTATGTCTCATATCATAATCATAATGTTAAGAATCTGAGCCTGTATTTATACACAAAACTGTAGTTATAGAAACTAATATTTTAGTCCACTAGTTTTTTTATAATCAAAGCACTACAAAACCATTGGAAATGGTAAATTTCTACTGGTCCTTATAATGTCTTAACTGTTTTGAGTACAACAGAACCTGTGCCATTTCTAACAGATATCATGCAAAGTTCATACTTCCAGTGACATTTTGTCTTTCATATTTTATGATAGCCTAGGCCATTTAATAATAGGATTGAAAATGACTAATTGATAGGGTTAAACACAGAAAGTTGATCTATAAAATTGCTAAAGTCGGGAGTGTTTACTGGAAATCTCGTGACCAAAAGTGTCGACAATAATACAAAATCTCTCAACAAACTGTCCTTAGATGGAAAGATTTAGGCTTTATTCTACGGTTTGATTTGGAGAAATATTACGAGATCATATGAACGGTCTTTCTATTATGCTTATGTATGACAAAAAGGAAGGTCTAAATGTATGTAAATTACCGGATGAAACGGAGATAAAATGCCTCTCGTATGTCAAGTCTTGGGTCTCACTGAGTAGCAGACGACAAACACCCACGTGGGCTTCGCGTGATGTAAACAAAGGGGGATAACCAGCACTCAACTTCAGCACTCAAACGTGTACCTTATTAATGATAATACTAAATTAATCTTAATTGTTATTATAAAATAATATCTGTGATACCTTAAACTGAATCAAACGTCTTTTTCAAATAACATTTTCATCGAAAATATATGCCCCGGAAGTGCTCCAATGCGTCAACTCTCTGCGCAGTCGGTTGCCATCAACAACGGTTGAAAACAGGTGAAGAAAAAGCGGGCTGTCATACTTCAGATCTACACATACGGTGCACGTTTGTATCACGCGAAAAACAACGTAAGTATATTCTTTGCCATATCTGGGTAATATTTGAAAGGTGGAAGGGTTTATTGTTTGAAGGGTGGCCTTTTGGTGAAAATGATGGAATATTTTATGTGGCGGAAAAAATGCCCGTACCAACATTCAAATGACGTGGTAGGATTAAAAAAATGCTAAACATTAATAACGATTGGGTAAATCGGAAATTAATTTGGGTAACACACTTGACACCCCCTGGGAATAGAACACTATCATTCACCCACGGAAGACGCCATGACACCTGGCAAGGAAGAAGCGGCAATATGACATATTCCTCACAACTAATTCATATAATATAACGAGCATGACATGAAATAAAACTATTAGTGTAATCATTACACATACCATTAATGTTGACCTGGGTACATTAACCTGATGTCCTCCAGAAGAACCGTGAAGATGTCTCCGGTTCTTTGACATCGGTACATGTACTCGGCGAGGTGAAGCGTGAAATCACCCCGCCGAGTATGTGTGGCCAGGAGCTGCCGCTTCACGCACCACCATCTATTTTCGATCAAATTTGTGCATGCACCTGTTACTGGATCTGTAAGTGGTTAAAACATAATTATTTACAATGATACAATTTCAGAAGGCAAAACAAAGTACAAAGACGTGAACATTATAAATACCAACATTATGCTGAAATACCTTTGAGATTTTCCGAATGGTTTACGTTGGTGTGAATATATCCCAGGTCAACTAGTCCGTCGTAACCCTTCCAACAGTCCGTAATAATGTGACTACCCCGAGCTACATTGTCCGTGATGATCCTCTCAAGCGTCTGTTTGTCACGTTTGTCCACGGGCACCAAAAATAATTCCCTACTTTCTCTACAAATTCCACCCAAAACCCACTGGCCCTCGACTACTCTACCCCTATGATACTTACGCTTACCAAACTTACTCTCATCAATCTCTACCGTCATGCCAGGACCCCCCCTATCATGTTCGAACTGTTCCTTTCCACGACCGAAGAGCATACCTCCCGACAGTACATGAAATAGTCCGCTACAGTTTCTCTAGATGTTTCCAGTACTCTCCCATCCTTATCACAATCAATACTGGTTTCTCTGATTGTGTCGCTGTAACTCATCTTATGAGCAAAACAATAAGTGAGGAGAATAGTCTTATTCAAAGACAAATTGGAACCAGAAAACCATGTACCCCTCCGTGCAGGAACTTGGTTATTGTTAGATTTTTTGCACACCTTTTTATTACATTGAAATCTAAAAGCCACATTCTTACCCTTTCTGTTAATACCATATGTGCGTGTTAGTACTTGGTGACAGTTAGGGCAGTGAGCTTGTGCTGGTAAAACACCGTAGCGTTTACAAAATTCAATGGTGCTCTCAGGAGTGTGTAAGTTGGAACATAAGGTAAACAAGTTAATGGGGATGGTAGGTCTGACCGCAGGTTCAGACACTGATGGCTCGTTACGTGCAGCAGGAGTGAGTGAGGAGGATGGTGCCGGGAGTGGCGGGGTATCGGAAGGATTTGGCCTGTGTTGGGGGAGTTAAGTGCAGGGTTTTGGCCTTGCATTTCCTGGGACGAGGGGGTGAAGGGCTGGATGAGTTCGAATCAACAAAGCGAGCGGGTCGTTTAATGGTGCGCTTGGGTCGGTAGGTGTGTCAATTGAAACCGGAGATGGAGGGATGGGTGGGAATTAAGCGGAATTACTTGTGGAAACCTCACCCCAAAACTCATGGGTTAGTAAATGAGACAAACCCGTGCTGGAAGCGGAACTTACAGAGGAGGCCTGGCCGTCATTCCATTATGTCCTTCAGTCGTAATGTCGGGAGTAACCTGCAAAAATTGGTGAGTCATCGTCTGAATCGTCTCTCAGTCTATGTTGACCTGGGGTGATGTCGCCCGATGTTAACAAATCAAACAGCGGATCTGGGGAGCTTTCCGTGAAGGTGTAATGGAACGAGGCAAATTAGGGGAAAATTTCTTCGGATGACATGGTACCGGTTGCAATATTATGCTATGAGTTTCAAGGCAAGAAAGAAGTCGAGTTACCTCTCCAAGTCAATATATAGGCTGAAATCTCGTGCAACATCTGCCAGAACACACAATGCGCCCAATCACACAAGTCATGAAAGCACGAAGCTATCATACAGCGAATGAAGTAGGCGTGTACAAATGTAGGTCACACAAGCAAATACACTGAAGTCAACAGACACCTTCACAAAACTCAAAGCGCACAACATCAGTTGTGAAGAAAGTTCCATATGACGTCACACTAAAAGATCGCTAAACATAACATCAAAAAACTATCAGCTATTCTCGTCAATCACAAAACAGCTGTGATCACTCAACGGAAGCTCAGATGACCGGAAGCAAAGACACATAGAGAACAGTGGATCGATTCCCAGGTAAGTCACAAACATTTGCAATATAATTATTAAGATTTTCTTCACACTTTCGTCAAGATCATTCCATGCTTTCAAATAATATTTTTGTTTATTTGGGATTTACTGGAAAATGAATAGGTATTTTACCTATGTTTAGTACGAATGATTGTCCTTAAAATTGACTAATATCTTTTATGTCAAATCTAAGGGGTATGCAGTAACATTTTCCAACTTAATTTGAGCTAGGCTACACACCTTTTCGAATATTTTGACGGATTGTCGATTGTCACATTTTTGTTGTTTTCGTAAATACGTTGAAATTTTACGTATCATTATCTAGAATTATTGTGCTCCTGTTTGTAATCGTCTTTTCTTGATACATGCATATTTATTTTAACAATCATATGAAATTTGGCATCACATCAAGAATACATTTTCATAACTCTGGCAGCACATTTTGCCTGGGTACCAAGGTTCATGTGACCAAATTTGATGTTTATGCTCGTAATTATGATTATGTTGCAAAGTCATACTACTGTGGGGGTGTGTGTGTTGCAAGGTGGGTGAGCTGTCTAAGGCTGTGGCTGGGTGTAAAAAGCCTTGGAGCCAACTATGTGTGCAGACTCTTTCAGTGTTGTCACAACCCCTAGTGTACAATGCGCTTAAAAGAATCCACAATCTGTTGGTAAATGACCAGATGGGGCCACATGAACACCTAGTTGCAGGTAGAGCAACATGCAGTAAACTTGGACAAAGTACTGTGACTATGTGTCCCAGTCCACCCAGCTGTTAATGGGTACCTCTTGAGGATGGGAAAGCCACATTAACGTGGTGCAGCTGGTGGCTGCACAAGTTGTATGCTCCCCAGGGAGTTGAGATTGAAAATATGATGTGCCGTTGAGATTGACATCCAATGATCGAGGGAAAAGCAAAAGCGCTTTGAGCATGCACATGGGATGGACTGAATATCCATATGATAATGAAAATAATAATAATAAATACTTGTGACCACTCATGGATTATTAACACTCATCCTGGTTAAAAAATCATTTCAAATTGGCAGTTCCTGATATCTTACAGACAATACACTGTTTCACTTGCCATGCTGATTAAGGCTACCTGTTAATCATCCGTTTTGTATTCAAATGTTAGAAAATGAATGGGGTGTACTCTTCTGATTGTCAATTGCTTAGATCGATGCTCATAATGTTGATCACTGGATTATCTGGTCCAGACTCAATTATTTATAGACCGCTGCCATATAGCTGGAATATTGCTGAGTGTGGCGTTAAAACCAACCAACCAACCAACCAATCTCTTCTGATTGAATATCATGGTTCTATTTATTAGTTTATCTTACTGACATTGATAAGTTGGTAGCCATAAATGAAGTCAACAAGTCTGACCACCTGATCCTGTTAGTCAAGTTATGACAAGCATGGGTTGCTGAGAATCAATTCTAACCTGCAACTTCATCATGGTCATAGTTTACCAATATCTGGGGCATACATTAGCACCCCAGTTGTCTTGAGTTTCACAGAAAGAGGACTATAGAAAATAAGACATTGTTTTTGTCAGTGGCCTCTTCTATGTTGGATCATTACTGGCCTTGGGCAGACAATATTTGTTTTGTTGGTTGTCAAAAAAACAGAATGTCTCAAGTGAACTCATGAGAAATTTAAAGATCCCTTAGACTGTCACAAATTTCCAATGAAAATGCATGCCATGTTCTGCAAATAGCTGTGAATATTAAATTGCTCATTTTCAAATTAGTGTTACTATTTCATTTTTGTACAAACGTCTTTGTTCTTTTATGAGCAATCTTGGTGCCTGGTACATTTTAGACAGGGCTTGTATTATGCTGCTGACTGACATGAACGAGACACAAAAATGCAACTGGAAATGCAAGATAGATTACACTGCAGTGAGTGAGTGAGTGAGTTTATTTTTACTCCGCACTCAGCATTATTCCAGCTATATGGCGGCGGTCTGTAAATAATCGAGTCAGGACCAGACAATCCAGTGATCAACAGCATGCGCATTTATATGCGCATTTGGGAACCGATGAGATGTGTCAAACAAGTCAGTGAGCCTGACCACCTGATCCTGTTAGTCGCCTCTTACAACAAGCATGGGTTACTGAAGATCAATATTGTAACCGGGATCTTCACAGGTATACTGCAATGAGACAGGTCATGTTGTGAACAAATGGTGAGACATCAAGGGGAAATCAATTGGACTACTAATTACAAGACATTCCTCATATTTATGCATCAATGGTTTTGTGTGGGTTTTCATGGTGGTTTTGAGTCAAAATGGACATAACATTACTAACAGCCTATTTCTTCCCAGGTTCCAGCAAGTGCTTCCTTTGTTGATGTAGTTTCAGTCAGAACTGTCCAGTCAGCATAATAAACTCACATCTTTAGAAAGACCACCTATATGCTGTCTATGTTTCAGATGCCAACCAATCCAGATGAGCCTTACTACTGCTCCCAGCAGATTAACATTCCTCCCGAGCTGCCTGACATCCTCAAACAGTTCACTAAGGCTGCTATCCGAACACAGCCCAAGGATGTGCTGGCATGGTCTGCAGCGTGAGTATTACCAGGATCCACATAGCACATATCCAGGAGCACATATTCAGAAAGGAATAATCATATATTAGTATGTCAAAATATCATTTAACGAATCATGTTTGATTCATTTAATGCCAATTTTGTTAAGACCCAATTGTGAAACTATTATTAAAAGACAGATTCTGTGCAGAAATGAATCTATTTAGAATTCTTTTGTACTTACTTTTTTGTGTGACAATTACAAATATGAACCTCATTGGGAGAAAATCATAATTACAATATAACAGGGGTGGAAATAACCCATTGCCCGACGTCCGAGTCCAGTGTTTTTTTCTGTGGGGCAAGCAAATTTGTATATCACACTGTATCGGTGTCCAGTTGACTTTCCAATGTTAATTATGTTGTTTATTTAAAAAATCAACAAGAAAACGGCCTGTATAGTGGAAAAATTATCAGTGCAAGTGATTTTACATGTGCCACTGTACCGGAGTACACAAGCAATTTTTTAAAGTTATTTCCACCCCTGTACAATATCATTTCTTTCTGAAAACTTGCATTCTTCCTAGTTAAACTTTTTTCTCATGAAAGGTTAGTTGATTGAAATATACATCAATATACACATGAACAATATGCATGTTTTAACCAGAATAAGATGTATGTCTAGCATAACTTTAAATGATAGAAAAAGACAAAGTTATTTGTTACCTCCCATTGTGAAAGAAGGCCAGATTGTCACTTTCAGATTATGTTAAGAATAGTTCCATATATATCCTTTACAAGCAGCTGGGACTAGTCGAGTGTCATTGTTTCAGTTGACAACTCGTGTGTGTGCGGGTCTGTCCTGAACAGTGGCGATACATTTCCAGTTGTTACTCAGCAGTAACTTGACTTTTGACATCAACCCAAACCCAGTGTTCATTCTAATCTTTCTTAGAGGTTGGCCAGTGGCTGACCTGTCCTCAGTAATGTGGGTCATTACAGAAATATTGTGGGTCTTGTCAAAGTGCTGTGCTGCTAGCCATAGGGTACTAGTTACTAATATGAGTTCACTTACTTTTTCTAACTTCCAATATAGGTAAGGTAAACAGTTTGAAACCAAATCAAGATCTGTTCAACACGTTCCTTAAACAGTGTACGGCTATTACTTTCAGGTATTTCCGGGCAATGTCCAAAGGTGAGACTCCCCCAGTGAAGGAGAGGCTGGAGATGCCAATCGCCTCCCAGAAGACAGATACAGGCCTCACGCCAGGATTGCTGCACGTTCTCAACAGACAGGTGAGGAAGGGTGATGGTAACTCTCTACATTATGTTTGTTTCAACATGGCTTCAGCATGTTGGGACTCTCTGCACAATAGATCTCATTAATTACGTTTGCACCCTCAGCTCCTTTCAATTCATACCAAGTGTGGCCCATGTATTTATTTATAGTCTGTACAGTTGGGCAATCTTCACAATATCAAACATGGGAGGGGGTGTTGTGTACATGTATATTATTTTTGCCATGACTTTGGTCATAGCCCTCACTGTACATCACTGAGAGCAGTTACTATGGTAACAGCAAATTGATTGATGAAGGCAGGATTTGCTCTGCAGATTTAATTGGCAGGTCTATACCTCATGACACTAATGTCTTCTTCAGCTTGGGCCAAAGAAGTCCGTGCCCCTGAATGTGATTGAGGAAAAGTGGCTTGACCTTGCCCTTCCCAAGGAACAGTTTGATGACTTTGTCAGGATTGGAAGCTTTGGTGGAGAGGTAGAATGGAACAAGTTCTTTGCCTTGGCAGCATCTGCTCTGGGAGAGGTAATTTTTTCAAATGCACATTGTCATGTGAGATACCAGTAAGCAAGTGTTTGGATGTTTCACCAATGTCTTTCAGTTTTGACTGACACTGTATTTTATGTTTTTCCCTTCCATATCTGTCTTTTTTTGCAGTAGAAGGTGATGATAAAGTGTCTACCTTCTGTCCTTCCCAATACGCATAACAAATATACTCATAAAGGGGAACTAAACACAATTTTCTCAGAATATAGATGGGGAACCAAATGTGACTCTCTTATCAAAATAAGTGGCTAAACAATATGCTGAACTACATGTGACTCTCTTACAATGAAATTTTAACTATTCTAAATAAATAAACCCTAATGTAGGATAATTATCGGAGCAAGTACAGATTTTAGTTCTTTGAGGACCGAATATTGATCCAAGAGATATTTGGAGACCATGGATATTGGACTAAGATATCTAACTAAAATGTGTTGCTACAACGAACGCAAAATCTTACCTCCTACTCCAATGAGGAAAAAAACCCACTTTGATAATGCAGTGATACATAATTATGTTTAGAGCCAGAGCACACTTATAAAGACTACAAATATTGGTCAATGAGAACGAAAGTAAAATCTGTCTTGCTCCAATGAACGAAAGTCCCACACTGTTTCTCCAACGAGTAAAAACCTACACTATAATGCAATGATTCACATGTCAGAATTCTGAATGCCAGGAAATTCTCAAAGTGCTTTCCGTGATGCATGTTGTATTTGTACGAAGTGTTCATGTGATTGAACTGAAACCAGTATGTCCATGTCTGCTCAACACTGTCTGTCTGGAAGTCGTCCACCCACCTACCAGGGGGACATGGCCATGACCTGACCAGTGATTAGAATAGGCATGTTCAACTTTGTGGTTTACACAAAATGTAGACAGTCAATAAAAACATGTTCTGAGTATTTGCAGTTTGTCATGTTCAGATTATCTTTCTTTAGCCAGGTCTTCACTCTGATACCAGGTTTGTAAAGACAAGAGGACAGTATTTATAAGTGAACTTCTCTGTTTCATGTCTTTCATATCTTAATATGAGATTACATTTATGACAGGAACAAATATTTCAGACCCTAATGTTCAAAAAGTGGAATATTACTTTGTTGCATTTGAAATATATATTGTACCTTGCCATACTCCTCTTCACTTTTGTTTTCGCCTACAATAAATCATCCTTGTTCTCAGAACATTATGAGTGCCATGAAGACGGTGTGTGAGATCCTGACAGCGGACCCAGAGGGTGGTCCTGCAAGGATTCCCTTCCCACTGTTTAAGGACCTGTACACCTACCTGGCCCAGATTGATGGGGAGATCTCACAACAACACATTAACGACGTTATCAACCACCTCCAGTATGAAGTGTAAGTTGTCACCTCCATGTCCCTCATCATCAACTAAACATAGGAAAGAAGGGTTACTGGTTAAAACATTAAAGTGTTAATTTTCTACCCACTGTCTGTGTTTCAGAAAGTTGTGAGTGCTATTTGAATCAAAATATACTCTTCAAAAAGAAACTTGACATAGGACAATTTGAATTTTAGGAAAATATTTGACACAAACCAATCCATGCTGAATCCCAGCGTGTGGGGCAATGGTTGCTGACGACAAAACGTTTAGAAAAAGAAACGTTTAACAAAAACGTAACATTACACTCACGTCTGTAGTGAATCTCTAAAACGCACCCTACATGAAATGCACGAGCATCATGAAATTGTGTATCACCCTGAGCTGAAGCCTATGGCTTTAAAAATCCACATCAATGGTACTCCACATGCATTGCTTTAAGCCACTATAGAAGACAAGAGAATGAAAAGACTGACAGAAGCTCAATGACACAACGCAATCGGCCGTTTATAAGGACAGACATCGCAGCATGATGTGTCCAGCGTGTCAGAATGTCCAGACAGACCATCTCAAACCTATGGACCCCATACAAAAATACTGGGAGTGTTAATGACAAACCCAGGTCAGGTCGACCTGGAGTTACCACAGCCGCCCAGGATTGCTACATCCGGTTGAGACATTTTCGTTCAAGCACCACAGCCGCATCATCCACAACAGTCCAAATCCATGGACTGCTCTGAATCTCCCAGCAATTGGCTATGGAAAGCCAGACTTTTTGCCAGATGACCAGTTCCCTACATCAACGTGATCTTTGGAGCATGACAATGCTTGACCTCACCTTGCACGTGTTTGACAGGTCTTCCTCCAGCAAAACAATGTCAGTTGTTACCTTGGCTCGATCACCGGATTTGTCCCCCATTGAACATCTATGGGGTACTCTTGATCGACGCTTAGGCCAGTGTAATCCGCCACCTCAGACACTACAAGAACTGCACACAGCACTTCAGCAAGTGTATCAAAACATACCTCAAGACAGCATTCGGCATTTCCTTTCTTTAGTAGCCCTCTTTGGTTTTACCAACCACTTTCTGGATAATCATGTTTTGGAAATTTATAAAGTGATGATTTTACTGTAACTGAGCAATGATGTCATGTTTGAATAAGTTATATGCACTCAGTAAGTAAATTTTTCCTTATCCTGACTCATGCTAATTATGCTAGTCTCCATCCTGTTGCGAATGATAGTGGAACACTTAAAATCCCTTGGGCGCCAAAGGGAGGAAAGGGACGCTACTCTTGGGTGAGTGCTTTTACGTCCGCTTTTTTAAAAGGGGATTTCAAGTGTTCCACTATCATTCGCAAGAGGATGGAGACAAGCATAATTAGCATGAGTCAGGATAAGTATAAAATATTAATTTTAGTCAGAAAATTACATACTCCAAAACAGCATTTCAAATTTCTTTTTTTGAAGAGTATATAATTTTTAAGAGGAGATACAAAGGGTCTCATTGACTATCTTCTGATGTCATGACAGTACAGTAGTTTAAATGATGCATGATGTATCTGACATCAGAAGACACAAACATGAGATTCTGTTTGTCATACAATATCATTCTTCCAACTTATTCAGTTTGTAAACAGCAATATTCAGTGTTTCGAGTGTAAAAGCTGACTAGCTTTCAATGGTATGGAAAGTAAGGCACAGCAATAGTTCTACCTCCTACTGCTTGACCAAGTGATATCTTTTGTGGAAGCCAGGTTTTAATAATACATATATTCCCAACTCAGTTTCAATCAAATGGCACTGGGCTGTTGTGGGAGAGTTTGATGAATCATGTGTTTATGTTTCTAGAGACAAGCAAGAAGGCTATGTGATGCCGAGGAACTTCACCAGTCCGGACTGCCCCAAACTGTCTTGAGGAATGTCATCATCCTTGATGTTCTGCCAATTTGCCATCTTTCTCTCTGTCTCTGCTCAGTATTCCTTACTGCTGTCTTGTGTTTAATTAGCTCAATTCAAGAAACTAAGGCTCACTCTCCAACTTTCCACCTACCAAAGCCCTTCGTGCTCACGCAAATCAACTTACAGTATGATATTTTTGTAAAGCTTGTGTGCAAGTGACTGAGTCAGTCCACTTGTTTGTGATATCTCTGTTGTAACACTGGCTCATTAGGGAGACGGTATTGTCAGGAAGGAATGTTAGTTATGAACCAAAAATGTAGAACGCAAAACATTTGGTATGTGATACTCATTTTGAAGTATTTGAATTAGGTTTGAGTATTGAATTTCTCGTATCTTCTCATTGCCTTTCACCAGTGATTGTGCTAGGGTATTATTTCTATCCCAGACAGAATTTTAAATCAAGTATTATCTCTCTTCCATATTGTTCAGGGGCTCTTCCATTTCATATTTTCATTTTCATATTTCATGTTCAAGAAAACAAAACAAGTAAATAACCCCAGTATAGCCAAATACATAAAACTGTCATCTCAACACTTTAAATTTGACTAGTTCTTATCAAATTATTTCATTTTATAATGAAGACTTGTTGCATTTCTTGTGTATTTTTGTTAGTTTATTTGTACAGCTGTAAGAATATCTTGTGTATAGTTGTCTCATGAAAGATGTATATGTCTGAAACCTGTTAATAAATATTCACAAAGTTGCCCTGTGTTTCACAGTGTGTATGATGTTGCTTGTATAAGTCCACTATATACCATATGACCGGATGTAAGGCCCTGACCGGGTATAAGGCCCTGACCGGGTATAAGGCCCTGAATGGGTACAAGGCCCTGTCCGGTCATATGGCCCTGACCGGGTATAAGACCCTGACTGGTTATATGGCCCTGACCAGGTATAAGGCCCTGACTGGTTATAAGGCCCTGAGCGGGTACAAGGCCCTGACTGGTTATAAGGCCCTGACTGGGTATAAGGCTCTGACCGGATATAAGGCCCTGACCGGGTATATGGTCCTGACCGGATATAAGACCCTTGAATAATCCCACACATCCTTGTTGGTATGATCCCAAGATGAAGCACAGCTACACTGGCTGGCAAAAGACATGATCTGTTTTAGAAGAAGAATACTTTAATGCCTTTTCAGGAATTTGTGTTACATCAGCAGAGCTACTGACACATTAGAGAGATACCAAACATATTTACATAAATTCTTTGATTTAGGTATCTTCACATTTGTTTAAGAGAGATATGGTACTTGGAATAAAGGATGTACGGGCTCTCTTAGTTTTCACAATTGGAACTTTGTAGCGGCGGCCTGAAGGAGGTTGTATTCCGAATTTAAGTAGTGAGTACGGTCAGATATGATTTTGACAGCTTGATTCGCGATTTGCCGCTCATATATTGATGATAAACATTCAAATCTGACTCCAGCGATTTTACTTGCAGTGTTAACAATTTTGTCTATTTTAGATTTGAGATGAAGTGAGAGAGACCCGTACCAACGATGGAAGGAAACTTAAAATACTCTGAATAAATGCTGCATAAAAAGATGACATCAGAGATGGGTTAACATTAAAAGATCTCAGTTTACACATGAGGTGAAGACGTTGTTGACACTGCTCATTTATAAGACTCAAGTACATTATTCTATTAAGGACAAACTTTATGGATGAACAACTTCTTTATTCAGGTGATGCAAGTTTTGATACAGATTCTTGTATCGTCAAGCAAGTATGATTCTTGTTTGACAATGATACAAGAATCTGTATTGAAACGTCGTATCACATGAATAGAGTAGTTCATCCATAAAGTTGGTCCTTTTCTTACTCTCCAACTTCTAAAAATGCCACTCAAAGAAGTTACCCTTTGCTACCTGCGAGGGTTGTTCGTGACTATAAGTTCACTGATATTTTAGGAGAGCTTCTTACAATATCTGATTCCCCGAATCTAATTTCACGGTGAACGAACAAGTGATACATTTATGAGCAGAAAGTTCATCATGTTGTAGCAAATGTCCATCAACAAGCGGACTGTGGGCATGTCTGACGGGTGTTGTTGTACAAAACAACCTTAGCGCTAAGACTACCGTAAGTCTATGTTAAGGTATGGGAGTTATGGTCACCTTAGCGCTAAGACTACCGTAAGTCTATGTTAAGGTATGGGAGTTATGGTCACCTTAGCGCTAAGACTACCGTAAGTCTATGTTAAGGTATGGGAGTTATGGTCACCTTAGCGCTAAGACTACCGTAAGTCTATGTTAAGGTATGGGAGTTATGGTCATCTTAAAAAGTAAGGGCTAAGATAGCTTTGTACAATGGCACACTGGTAGGACAGAACTATTTGTGGGGTAAGTTCATGATGTTTGTGGACTTGGCTGTCCAACTTTTATGAGATCCTTGATGTACAATTTGATTGTAGGCTTAAATATGGCTCTGAGGTAACAGCATGTCAAGAGTGCCCTACCCGCAGCATAGGGTCGAGAATGGTCTGGAATCTAACATGACTAGGCAACCAACAAAATACGACGTTACACTGGTCCTGGGGAAGGTCAATGAAAGCACCTTGGAAAGTTTGTCAGAATAGGGTATAACCAAAGCCAGTAAGGGACGTACACAGAGATTCCCGATCTAATATGCAATCTATTGCAGTCTATTTAGTATTTGACAGGAATATTGTCTCAGAAACGTGCATTCCAATTCAAGATTGCTGATCCATGCATGTTTAATATTCAAGATTTTACCCAGCGCGGTAAGACTAAACGGTCGCCATCATCTCGTACAAGCTGAAACACTACACGGGGGTGGTAATGTCACGTGATTTGCCTGAGTGTTTGTCACCGGTTGTCATAGTTTCAGTCTCAAGTCTTGGCGTGGTGTAGTTGGTATACATCATTCATCTGCTTCAACAGAGTCGAGCGTTCAGTCTCTAGTCTTGGCGTGGTGTAGCTGGTATACATCATTCATCTGCTTCAACAGAGTCGAGCGGTTGAAGGCATGAGTTAATATTGTTATTATACGCACGCTTCCTTTTTTTGATTAACAAATTGAATATCAATTTTGAAGACATATTAGCATGCTCCCAGTGACAACCGTCGAACTCCAAGTCGTAGCATGGCGATGAACTGTGTTGCTGTAAAGACTCATCAACGAGATACCATATTGTAGAATAGTGATTGAAATTGTTGCTATGGAGATTAAGTAGTGACAGATCACGGCAGCATAGTTATGAACCGTGTTGCCATGGAGATATAGTAGTGACAGATCACAGCGTAACATAGTTATGAACCGTGTTGCTATGGAGATAAAGCAGTGACAGATCACGGCGTAACATAGATATGAACCGTGTTGCCATGGAGATATAGTAGTGACAGATCACGGCGTAACATAGATATGAACCTGTTGCTATGGAGATGAAGCACTGAGAGATCATGACCTTGTTGCTATGGGGTGAGTGAGTGGGTATGGTTTTACGCTGCCTTTAGTAATATTCCAGCAATATCACTGCGGGGACACCAGAAATGGGCTTCTCACATTGTAGCCATGTGGGGAATCGAACCCGGTTCTTCGGCGTGACGAGCGAACGGTTTAACCACCAGACGACTCCATCGCTCCTTGTTGCCATGGAGATGAAGCTGCGAGAGAACATGAACACCTCGTATTCTACAGATTAAGGCCAGACACACAACACTTTACATATCACCTGTAACGTTGGTTCCTCACTATCTTTATCTGCTACACTATGTCCTGAGATACATATATCAGCTAATCCTCGAGGGTGTGGACAAATATCGGTGCTGTTATTAAAACTGACAAACGTTTTCCACCAACAGGTAAAGTACCTGTAAAACAGGTGGGACTGGCAAGCGATTGTCACAGACCGTTTGTTTGGGTGTTTGCTGTGTGTGACAGCTGACGATTCGTCAAGTGAACAGACACGCTACCCTAGACACTTGAAATACAGCTGTAGCAGGTATAGATATGGCAACATGGCTCCAGTATACATATGGCAACATGGCTCCAGTATACATATGGCAACATGGCTCCAGTACAGATATGGCAACATGGCTCCAGTACAGATATGGCAACATGGCTCCAGTATAGATATGGCAACATGGCTCCAGTGCAGATATGGCAACATGGCTCCAGTACAGATATGGCAACATGGCTCCACTGTAGATATGCCAACATGGCTCCAGTATAGATATGGCAAAATGGCTCCAGTACAGATATGGCAACATGGCTCCAGTGCAGATATGGCAACATGGCTCCAGTACAGATATGGCAACATGGCTCCAGTATAGATATGGCAACATGGCTCCAGTATAGATATGGCAACATGGCTCCAGTATACTTATGGCAACATGGCTCCAGTCTAGATATGGCAATATGGCTCAACTGTAGATATGGCAACAAGGCTCCAGTACAGATATGGCAACATGGCACAAGTATACATATGGCAACATGGCTCTAGTCTAGATATGGCAACATGGCTCCAGTATACATATGGCAACATGGCTCCAGTCTAGATATGGCAACATGGCTCCACTGTAGATATGGCAACATGGCTCCAGTATAGATATGGCAACATGGCTCCACTGTAGATATGGCAACATGGCTCCAGTATAGATATCTTGCCATATCTGTACTGGAGCCATGTTGCCATATCCAGTATACAGATGGTAACAGTAACAGTGTACACGATTTAAGACCTTCCTGAGATGTTTGGGAGACTTATGACTGACCGTGATGGCCTTTATAGCTTCTAGCTGGCCGTGTACATTGGTCGTTAACTGTACCCCCCGTGGCGCTACATCAGCACTGTTGTCAGTTGTGTACAGGGAGGATTACACTGAACATGTTTACCAGGCCCATGTGCAGCGGCCAAGATAAACCTCCTACATCACAACACGTGTGTAAAGAGTGCACCGTCTGACAGCCTATTGTCTCCAGATCGATTCCCGTGGGGATCTCAGAGAATGGTTATGTGTGATCGGATATAAGAAATCGATGATTAAGGTATGAAGTTGCTAGTTGTGGGGATCCCGGATTATTTAGCGAGCCTTGTCACGACAGATAATGTGAGATCGATTCAGTGTCCATCACAAACTGGCCGACGCTTCACGCCTCCTGCATTCTAAACAACTCTCGACACCCGGTGTCTTCTCGGACAACTCAGCTCCGGAAGATAGGTCGGCTAGAACCTCGTGAGTATATAAAGCAGTATATGTGAATGTACCATTTTATTTATGTTAATCTACCTTAATGACAGGGACTGTATATCATATTGATTTCCTCCCCACTGACGTAAACACTAGGTGTAAACAACGGGTCAAGATAAGGGCTCTGTCTGCCATAATGTGAATACCTTTCTGGTCAGTGTGAAGTGTCGGGTAGGTTTCAGGAAATGGGGATGTGGGCAATTTGCAGGTTGGCGATTTTACACTTTTGTATCGTATAAATATCGTTGTCAGTTATGTTGGAATACAAAACGAATGCTTTTAAGTGTGTTTTGTTGTTTATGTGAACAATGTACCTACATAGCTAGACAGGTATGTCAATATACGGGTCGTGAGATTATCACTGCAACACAGATATGTATATCATTGTTTAGACCCGCCTATATCAACTCAGACGTGTATATATGAACAGAATGGTGGGCTGGGATATTTCATCTGGATTGTAACATGGCGGGTGGGCTAAACATTCAGGGTAGGTTGTGTTTTTGTCTCTATGTTTTCTTTTCATAAACAATTATGTAACCTGAACGAAATGGTGACTGGTGTGAAAAGAGAAGCATATTACGTGTGTCCAGTTCCGTTTAGTCTCTATGGTCTAGGCGAATGGTCACTTGTGTACAAATAGCCGGCATATAGACTCAACAGCGTACACTCACGACCCCGAGCGTAGTCAAATGAGCACATTCTATGCACATCATTGCTTATAGAATGGATGTGGTTTCATATGTCTATAGCGGGTCACGCATCGGATTATGAGGGAACAGTGATATTCATATGTCTATAGCGGGTCAAGCATCGGATTATGTGGGAACAGTGAAATTCATATACGTCATTTGTACTTTCATCGAGTTATTCGTTGCAACCCATACTTGTAGTGGGCGACTTACGGTATCGGATGGTATGGTTGACACAAGTCACGGTGTACCATTTGCTTAGATCGATGCTCATGATGTCAATCACAGGATAGTCTGAGCAATTATCGATAGACCGCCGTCACACAGGTATTGATTAATGCGGTAAACAAAACAAACAGTTCTACAAAACAAACAGTTGTACAAAACAAACAGTTGTACGAAACAAGCAGTTGTGCAAAACAAAAAGTTGTACAAAACAAGCAGTTGTACAAAACAAAAAGTTGTACAAAACAAACAGTTGTACAAAACAAGCAGTTGTACAAAACAAACAGTTGTACAAAACAAACAGTTGTACAAAACAAGCAGTTGTACAAAACAAACAGTTGTACAAAACAAGCAGTTGTACAAAACAAAAGTTGTACAAAACAAACAGTTGTACAAAACAAGCAGTTGTACAAAACAAAAAGTTGTACAAAACAAACAGTTGTACAAAACAAGCAGTTGTACAAAACAAGCAGTTGTACAAAACAAACAGTTGTACAAAAAAAGCAGTTGGCAAGCAGTTGTACAAAACAAGCAGTTGTCAAGCAGTTGTACAAAACAAGCAGTTGTACAAAGCAAACAGTTGTACAAAACAAGCAGTTGTACAAAACAAACAGTTGTACAAAACAAACAGCCTTGGAATTACATTAGGGCCTTTAAAACTAATGTTTACCCCCAAGCCAACTAAGATTGTTGTGGTCAGGTTTATATAGTCACCACATCCCGACCACGCAGGTCTTCCATCATGCCACTAGTTTGGTAAACACACAACTGTTAACAGACTCGATACAGGTGGAACACTGCCGACTGGCGCTGTACTGACATACGTACACTGTAACGCTAACAGTCACAGGTGACCACGGCGTGTGTCAGCAACTGCCAGGTAATTATACATTGTGTGTGCACGTGGGAGTACAATGGGGCGTTAGTTGGGGGGTCAAGGGGGTGTTACACACCAGGCGTGTAAGCTCATTAGAGGCGCGGGGATAGTTCACAGGCTGGGTGTGCAGGGATAAGTGTTGCAATCAGTCAACTGATTGTTGTGGTGACTACAATGTGTGATTGTTGTGAGAACCCTATTGTACAAAGGAACGACCGTTACATCTCGAAAAGGTAAGGAAAACAGTTGTATCAAAATCTATTTTTTAAAACCATAGAGGGCATTTAACAAGAACATTTACAGAGTTCAGATCTTTTACAGCCCGAACACCTGCCGTGGTGAAGTATACACGATCTGTTATTTCTACGTTAATATTGTAATGTACTTTGTTGATGTCACTGGTGATGATGACAACAGAGGAGGCGGTTAGTACGAGCCCGGTACACCCAACAAGGAGCCACAGACCAGCAGTCAAGGTGATATGTACGAGTGCCCTTCTTCCTGCTGTATATCACGGCAGTTGACACCGAGAACAGTACAATCTATTTTGATAAGTGATCCCAGGTATTCCGACATTTTATACACACAGCTTCTGTCCTTTGAGCCTAATCGTCCATAAGACCCACCAACAGACATGACTGAAATCATAACCAGCCTAAAAAATGGGAATTCGGATCAAAACTTCGGTGAATGAGAGAGTTGGACAATCGTTTAGATGGGACATCCACGTACGTGACAGGTTTGGTGCTAAAAGATCCAGGATCAGAAGGCTTCAGACATTTAACAAGCAGATTCTGTCTCCATTGATATCTTATAGGTTTATATATTTGTGGAACATCCTAAGTGTTGGGTGCAAATCGACTTCTGTTGTTCAAGCCAACCCTTAGGCTATACCGCCACCATTAGGTTTATTGATATTAAAACCCCTTGAAACGATCGTGCAGTGTATATTTGTAATGAATAAACCAGTACACGTATTTGTTCATGCAAATCAGTAGACCACACCTGTAGTTTATCTTAGGCGATGTTAGTCACATACCCAGTCTCAATGGCAGCTTATGACCCGTGTCCAGGCCTACAAAATAACCTTCTACCAAATCCAAGCACCTGCCGATAGTCCGCTCATGCATACCAGGGTAATGTTTTTTAGGGAATCTTGTCCAAATTTAGTATGAGCTGTACGTGAAGCGTCATGGAAAACCTGTACATTAGAACGTTTCTCTCGGTGTCCTGCACTTCGAATGTCCACGACATTAGCCGGGGCTGTGCACCACGACATCTCACGCAAGTCTATTGACTTTACATAAATCCTGCATTGTTCCTGTGTAGTGGACTGAGACAGGAGACTTCATGCTATGTATTGTATGTCTGGTGTTGGGCCCCGAGAGAGATGTCTTGATTAACACGGCGCTGACATGACTGCAGGGTCAATATCATCGATAAGGTATGACTAGCATGTGGGATATATGTTGTATCTCACCCCGTGTGGCAGGGACATAGGCTGTTGGTAAGTATACAGATATATACAGTTGTGAAATATTAGGTAGTTAATCGAAATATATTTTTTAATCGTTTATGTATTTATCCAGAAACATATTTTCACACTAAACCGTCAGCTCTGATTCAGCGTTGCTAGCTCGGCATTTCCGGTGTATACCTGCGTAGGTGTTTTACTATCTCTGTTTCTGTTACAAACCGACGTAGGCTGGCAACCACATGTCCTTAAAGAACCCACATACACGGTCGACATTTTAGGTTTGGTGAAGTCTACTCCCATGTACAGAGTTCCCGAATCTCCGGTGAATTCTACTCGTTTGAAGATATTTCCCAAACACCCAGTGGGTTCGGCTCGTTTACAGTTTCTTGAAATTGTTGTGTTAATGACGGTAATCACAAGCTTCACACAATTAACCGTGTTGCCATTTGAACCCCTGTCTTAGGCGCGTTAGCCCACCTGTCCCGAGTGTCTCTATATCCCCATCTCACCTGATGGTCTATATAGGCCCAACTCCACTGAAGGTTTGTATCCTGTATTTATTGGTTACAGTAATAAAACAACATTGTGAGCAGTAAGATATCAGGGTATAAGAAAGGAAACTAACCATTTTGATTTTGTTTGTTTTGCATAAACCGACATAAGCGTGTAACATTGTCAACATTTAAGTGAATGCTTTAACAGTTTCAGATACATCCACTGTTCATCACATGCCAAATACACCGACCGGTCAGAACACATCACCATGGATACAATAAACACTTGAACCGATTAGAGCAGACCAGCATAGACACCATGAGCACTCCCGTCGACATGAACACGAGACCTCTCTCAGCTGAAAGCAAGGAGTCTGAGATTGATATTGAGTTTCAAATCGACATTGGGGAGGACCCACTGCCGTCGGCAGCACAGGACCACGTCACAGACGAAGGTCTGCTTGAAGAGGAATCTTTCATGACCTTGACCCAAGAGGAACAATCAGCATGGGATGAAATGATCCAGACACTGAAACATGAACTCGAACAACGCGGTAAAGACTTTTCCCAGTGGTCTGACAAAATAACGCGGAGAAGAATGTATGCTTACGCGAGAATGAAAAAGCTGGAGAAGTATCACCAGGCGAGAGAAGGGTTTTACAGAAACATTGACGGTTTTATTGAAACATTCCACGGAGATGTACTGAGAAGTAGTGACGGGATGGAGAGTGCAGTGGTGACAAGAGATGCTCAGATTCAGTCAGGTGGTGGAGGTGACAGAGACAATGGAGTGAAGGACGGAGTGGACACCGTCCTCACGAAGGAACTCTCCACGCCAGTTATAAAACAAGAGCCACCAGTATCTGTCACATAATATGTGACAATGTAGACTTCAGCGCTGTCTAACCAGGACGTGCGTGTGTGATGTACAGCCACATAACTCGTCACCACCACCGTGTGGTCAGTGACCTGTCGAGGAATTCATTTTGATTAAATCCTTTGTATAATTAAACGACTTTCCTGTTCATATGAAGTGTAGGTCCCATATGGACTGGGTTACCTGTCCCAACTCCCAGCGTGGACATAAAGATGATATAAAATGGTAGTTTTTGTATCCTATATGTCTCCAGCGATGTTTTTCATTCTGTTATCAACTAAATTAATCCATGTCTACGTGTCCAAAGAATGGGCCAACAATACAAAATGTGAACATAGACCTATATTACTTCCAACATTCATAACTGAAAACCTTTGTGAACTAAACATACAGATCGTTGAATTGTTTGGCAATCAAAGCTAATGGCATACTGTTGTAACAACATGATCATCTTTAATATCCTGTCTATGATACGTGCTAAAATCGATGGAACGTTAACGTTGAAATGGCTGCTGTAAGATTTGCCTGTGCGAGTGACCACCCGTGGGGATTCTGGGTAATAGTACTCTTCCCAGCAGCACATGCTTGTTAGGAATGACTGAAAGGGTCAGACACCTCCCGACAGCAACCTTCACATGACGGACGGCATGTCATCGGATCCCAGTGTGTAGATCGATGCTCATGTTGGCTTGTAACGCCACAGTCATTAATATCCCAGCTATAGGATGGCGGTCTTAAAAAATCGACTCTGGATCAGGCAAGCATGTGATTAACATCATGAGCATCGGTCTACACAAGTGGGATACGATGGCATGTGTCCACTAACGCGCTTGACCAAGCGGTCCCGTTTACTGCCCTTAACCAACACGCATGGGTTGTTGACGTTCAATTCCAGCCCGGATCTCCATGGTTCGATACTCATGACTTCAATGACTAGATTGTCTGCTCCAGCCGTCACATAGCTGGAATATTGCTAAATGCGACCTTAAAGAACGAAGGAGCTGCTGGATCAATTCTCGAAGTCGTGTTCTTTTAACTTGCTGGTTTGTAACAGGAGCTAGAGAAACTTAAAGACCAAATAGTGACCATAGTTGACTTTAGGCGGATTTAGTGTAAGCCAGCGTGCGTGGACGTTGGAACACTCCACGTACAGGAGTCATATGGAATGGGTCAGATTCCAGTACTTGTAGGTGGGTAGGTCATCCATGTGTCTGGAAGGATTTGCTACCTGATGTCATACACGATAGATAGTTGGTGTTACAACCTCGTCAGCTTCGGTGAACGACCAGTGTGATAAATATTTTATTTTAGGTTGATATATATATATATATATATATATACACACACACACACACACACATATATATATATATACATTTTATATAATAGTTTGACAGGAAAATGTTCGGCTAGATTGATTCTACAAACACGGAATTTCAAATGTCCGACTGATTGCCTTGCTCCGGCCATTATACCCAGTATGGTAGACACGAAGCGATTCTTTCTGAAACTGTAGCAGTCATGGCCTTTAACACCACCAGTCAGGGCCTTCAACACCACCAGTCAGGGCCTTCAACACCACCAGTCAGGGCCTTCAACACCAGCTTATATACAGCTCATGATACCTTTCTTTATCACTCACCCGTTGAACATATCACTGTTTGATAAATCTACAATGTTATTACACATTGTGTAATAACACCGCGTGCTGCAGGAACTATTTGCACTCGGTCACATGACCAAAGTAATGTGATCAAAACAAGATGTCGGCTGTCATTCCCACCGCATCTCGAAGTCACAATAGTTCAGATGTTTTATTTAAAACACCTTTTACATAGCTACATCTGCGGACATATTTTCACAAAATAAAAAATCAAAATAAATAGTCTAATGTTGACAATCATAAATGAAATGTATTCATACGCATGACCCCTGTTATGACGGCGTAATGCACGCGTTCTGTCAGTTGAATTCTGGGTTATCATTTTGCTAATGTTGGGTGAGTAATAAATAAAATATTGATTACTAATAATGTACATCACTGTACACATACCTCACATCAAAGACCATATAATAGGTCTCTGCTCACATATACAACAGTGTGCCAGGGAATAAACGTTATAAGATCCATTTCCAGAGGAGCATCTACACCGAAACGTCGCATCTGTTGCAATAAAAAAGTTGTCTATCTATAACAAGTGTTCCTCTTCATCATCCCAGCTTCTAAATGTCACTTACAGAAAACACCTCACTACACCTCACACATTTGTAACACCATGGTCTGCGTCGGTGAAAGAACACAGCATTTCGCTGATGGATGGGTCCACAGTATCTTCTGAAGAGTATTGTAGAAATTTTATTGAAAAAGACTGCATGTTCCTGAATTTTGAAATTTGCAAACGAGAAAATTTATACTTTGAAATTCTCAGACAACCCCCATTGCAGTTTATCCCAATGAAACTCGTCATATAACATATCCACCATATGTAAACATCAGAACATGAATGTTTGGTTCAAAGAACTAGGTATACTCTGCATGTGAGTCTGGTGTGTTACCCCAGGAAGACATCTGACCACACCAAGATCAGTACTGTTAGCTTATGGTTTTACTTCAGTCTGAATACATGTTCATTCTATGCATTGGAGGTAAAAGCTCCATGCAAAATCCTTAGAAACATATATGCTTCACTTTAAAACAATCTCTTTCATCAAAGGTACAAGACAGTTTGCCAAGAATGAACACGGAAGTGTTACAACAGAGTAAAGAGGGACGTGGCCACACACGATCACACAACCAGTAGCAACCCGGAACAAGCTGGGTGACATTTTGTTTTGGAGATAATGCGCGTTTCATCATATAATTTACTTATGGTTTTGGCTATGCATGGGTCAGTCAGGATATTGGTAATGTCAAGTATTTTATGTTTCTTTTTTTGGCAAAGACTGACCGATAATTTAAAGCAATCCTGGTATTCTTCCATTGAAAAAATTCACATAAAACTGTTTATTATTGTCAGTATAAGACTCTGTTAGATGTAGAAAAATACTTAAATTGAAATATTTATTTAAATTTGAGATCTGCCCTTTCAAAATTTAGATGCGGAAACTTTAATCTAGCAATAGAGACTGGGAGATATGAAAACATTGCTTCAAATGAAAGATTTTGTTTATTTTGTAAATCCGAAGGTATTAATGTTGTTGAAGATGAGTGGCATATTTTGTATATTTGTGAATGTTTCTCTGACATTCGAGGGAAATATATTGGGAAATATTTAAGTAAGCCGCCGACGATAAACAACTTAATCCATATTATGCAATCTGCAAATGTCGATATGATTAAGAATGTTTCTTTATTCTTATATAATGTACAAATTAGAAGGAAGAGCAGAACATTTTTATAAATCATTGTGTACCATTCATGTGATGTGTGATCACGCATTTGACTGTATTATGGGCCAGTGGCCTTTTACTGAATAAAACTGTCTGTCTGTCTGTCTGTCTAAAACAATATGGTAATAGGTGTGGTATAGACTACAACCACATGGGGTAAGTGATACACTAAAACAACATGGTAATAGATGGGGTATAGAATACAACCACGGGGTATGGTATTCTTCCATTGAAAATTCACATAAAACTGTTTATTATTGTCAGTATAAGACTCTGTTAGATGTAGAAAAATACTTAAATTGAAATATTTATTTAAATTTGAGATCTGCCCTTTCAAAATTTAGATGCGGAAACTTTAATCTAGCAATAGAGACTGGGAGATATAAAAATATTGCTTCAAATGAAAGATTTTGTTTATTTTGTAAATCCGAAGGTATTAATGTTGTTGAAGATGAGTGGCATATTTTGTATATTTGTGAATGTTTCTCTGACATTCGAGGGAAATATATTGGGAAATATTTAAGTAAGCCGCCGACGATAAACAACTTAATCCATATTATGCAATCTGCAAATGTCGATATGATTAAGAATGTTTCTTTATTCTTATATAATGTACAAATTAGAAGGAAGAGAGCAGAACATTTTTATAAATCATTGTGTACCATTCATGTGATGTGTGATCACGCATTTGACTGTATTATGGGCCAGTGGCCTTTTACTGAATAAAACTGTCTGTCTGTCTGTCTAAAAGTGTATATGTCATGTGTGTGTGTGTGTGTGTGTGTGTGTGTGTGTGTGTGTGTGTCAAAAGCTTTATTTTTGTTACCGAATAAAGACCGGACATCACAAGCACAGAAATTTCCAGCGGATTTCGGAAAACGTTCATCCAGACTGAAGCACAGGACCCAAGCCGTTCTCCAGTGCACTGTCCGTATATCTCACATATCAGCCGGCAAAACTGAATACGATACACACTACCTTTTACCACTGGCTGTTATATGGACTGTTTGTATTCCATCATAACACATCTCTATGCTCTCTAGGCAAATAAGCAACGATCAATATGACATGCTATGAAATCTGTTCCCGGGTATACATGCATACATAAGTTAAACCAACTGCTTCCATCCCGTAATCCATAGCCTGAAGTAGTGGAACTGGTTCGGTTCAATACGACCCGTGGCAGACCAGGAGTGATGACTTCCTGTTGAAGCCCGCACGATCTGGCCAGCGTTAACTAACATGTCAATACAGAACCCGTACCGTCTCCCGGGTAGTCGTTCTTTCCGGGTGTACATCGTTAGTCAGGTTTTAAAGAAGCAGATGCCAAAACACAGGGATACGTAAAAACCCTGCAGAGAATCACACACTATACAACATATAGAGAATTTCTTATTTGAAAATACAACAATATTGCAGAGAGAGACAGACAGACAAATAACGGTATGTCACCCAGGTTAGGATAGGGAAGTTCAGGTCAGAATGTCATTCTACGACCTGTGTGTTTTGTAGCTTCAGAGAAGCCATTTGTATAACTACCTCCGACTCTGCAATAATTAGTGAGGGTTCCGCCTGAAGGAGGTGGACTTGAGACAGCTGACGGGCGGCTGGTGAAATGTCAGTTGTAGTAAATAACAGAAAATAGCTGATTGAGTCATCTACAGTTAGTTAAGGACTTGAACTGGGGTTATTTTCATACAACGGTATATATGAAGACGGCCAAGCAGCTCGTCTGTGGAGTCTTT